CAGGTGAGTGGTGTTTTCCTGTAATGCCGGTTACTCTAGGAAGCTCATGTGGGAGGAGGGCAAGTTGGAGGCCAATCAGGGCAATATAGCAAGACCCTGTCTCAAAATACAAAAAGAAAAACTAGGCTGGGCGTGGGCTGCAGTAGTGGGACTCTTAACTTGGGGTGGCCAGCATCCTGAGTTTAAATCCCCAGCACACACAAAAAATCAACAAACAGCCCATGTTCTTCTCTTCGTGCTAATGTTAAATTGGCCTCCAAAACCATGACAAGAAAAGACAAAGAGGGGAGCCATGGGTCTTTGGCGAACAGGAGTTAGGATTGTTTGACCTTTTCTTTTCCTTTTGTGCTGCCAAAGATCAAATGCAGTGCTTCAAAGTGTTAAGCAAGTGCTCCACCACATTGTTTGATTTTAACAAAGGGTGTCTTTGCATAGGAAGGAACAAAGGAATAAGAAAATGAAGTTAAATGAATTAGAAAAGCAACAAAAATTTTGAAATATGAATTAGCATTTAATTCAGTGACTTTGGACCCTCTCAGGAAGATACTGAAGCATAAAATCAGATTGTAATTAAAGTTCATATGGTGGCACACTCCTGTAATCCCATCACTAAGGAGGCCGAGGTAGCAAGATCACCTTAAGTTCGAGGCCAGTATGAACTATATAGCAAGACAAAAGCCAAATAAAATAATAACAAAAACAATATTGTCATCAGTGCTTTAAATATCCAGTCACTGTTCAAATTCCTAGTTGTATAAAATTCATAAATTTAAAATTTTTTTTTAAGTTTTATTTTTTGTTTTTTTGAGACAGGGTCTTACTATGTAACCCAGGCTATCTTCAAACTCCCAGCAATCCTCTTGCTTTAGCCTCCTAGGCACTGGGATTATAGATGTACACCACACAGTTAAAATCCTAAGTTTTAAAAGCTTATTTGAAGTACTGCAAATGTAGCTGTATGTTTTCTTTATTTGTTCCTTTATTGATAGGCATTTAGGTTGTTTCCAGATCTTGGCTATTATGAGCAATGGTACAGTGCATGTATGTGCAAATATCTTTATGAGGTGATAATTTCACTATGCTCAGAAGAGACATCGCTGGGTTGTATTGTATTTCTATTTTTTAAATCTTCTCCATTCTAGCCAGGATTGGTAACACATGCCTGTAAACCCAGTAGTCTTAATTCTGTGAATATGGTGTATTACATTTTTTGATTTGTGCCTGTTGAATCATCACTGTATCCCTTGGACAAATCCTACTTGGTGGTGTTGTATAATCTTCTTGATGATTTGCTGTATTCTGTTTGCCAGTGTCAGGGTAATACTTGCTTCTAAGAATGAGTTTGGGAGTATTGCTTCCCTTTGAGTTTCATTAAAGAGTTTGAGGAGTAGCCACATTTAATCTTCTCCAAATTTCTTGTAGAATTCAGCAGTGAATCTATCAGGACTTCAGCTTTTCTGTGTTGGTAGTTTTTTTAGTTACATCTTAAATTTCATTTACTGATACTGGTTTATTTATAATTTTTATATCTTGATTCAGTTTGAGTAATTCATATGTATTCATATGAATTACTCAAACCATATGTATGTTTCTTTTGTGTTTTCCATCTTATTAAAATACAAGTTCTCAAAGTTGACATTGGCAGTCGTCTGGATTTCTACAGGACTTGTGCAGGTTTGTGCAGAATTGTGCAGGATTTCCATAGGTTTATGATTAGCAGTCATGAAAAAAAAGACTTCTTAAAAATAGCAGGGGACCATGAAAAATCAATAGCTGCTAAGTAGTACAAAGAAGACAAATATAATATTAATGGGAATCAATGAAAACATCAAGGGATAATGAAAAGGACATTTAAAAAAAAAACCTATTTACAGAAGTAATGGTAGAAAACATCCCAAGCATGGCAACACAATTTGACATACAGATAAGTGAGGCATATAGAACTTCAATTAGCTATGATCAAAAAAATCTGCAGTGAGGCATATACTAGTCAAGATTCTAGAAATTCAACACAACAATAGACTATCAAAAGCTGTTAGAATAAAGAAACCACCTGTAAAAGAAAAATATCATAGCAGACTTTTCAACACAAAGGAGAGCTTGGAGTGAAGCATTTCAGGTCCTAAAAGAAAATGACCTCCAACCAGATTGTTGTACTCTGCAAAACTACCTTTCAAAACCAGTGGAGGAATAAGGTACTTCATGACAGAACAACTAAAGGAATTTATATCCACCAAAATAACACTCCAGAATGTTTTAAAGGATATTCTAGAAAGAAATAAGAATAAGCACAATTCCATGAACCCCAACAGAATCCACCAGACAGGACAATCAGAGAACCAAGAACAGAAAAATAATATAACATGGATAAGTCAGTACGTATCAGTTACAGCCATCAATGTTAATGGTCTTAATTCACCAATCAAAAGAAATAAACTGGCAGAATGACTCAGTAAGCAGGATCCAACAATGTACTGCATTTAATTAAAATAGACATTCATAGACTGAAAGTCAAAGGATGGAAAACAGTACTCCATGTGACAGGGACCTGGAAAAAGTAGGAGAAGCAATTCTATTAGCACACAAAGTGGATTTCAAGCCAAGACTAATCAAGAAAGACTAGAAGGTCACTTATTCCCTTATTAAGGAAACAGCTCGAGGAAGAGGTAACAATCATAAACATATGTGCACTAAATACCAGCACACCAAACTATATAAAACAAATATTAGCAGACATAGCAAATCAGATAAACAGTGATAGATTGTAATGGGGGTCCTCAGTAACCCACCATCACAGATAGACCAGCTAGACAAAACCTCAACAAAGAAATACCAAAATTGAACCAAACTTTTGAGCAAATGGACTTAGTAGTTGTCTACAGAGTGTTTCACCCCACAACAGCAGAATGCACGCTCTTCTCGGCTGCTTATGGAGACACTTTCTCCAAAATAGACCAACATACTAGCTCACAAAACATGCTTAAGTAAATACAGAGACATTGAAATTACCCCATGTATATTATCAGACTATAGTGCAATGAAATTGGAAATCAGTAGCAGAAGAAATCACAAGAACTTCATAAACACATGGAAATTAAATAACCTTCTAAACAACCAGTAGGTCACAGATGAAAGTAAAGTAGAAATTAAGCAGTTTCAACAATTAATAATGCAGATACAACATACTGGAACTTATGGAATCCAGTGCAAGCATCCCTAAGAGAGAAATTTATAGCAGTGAATTTTCACATCAGAAAACAGGTTAAGCTCAAATAAACAACCTCAAACTTTAAGAACAAGTCAAGCTCAAAGCTTGTATGAGGGAGGAAGTTATAAAGTTCAAAGCATTAATTAATGCAATGGAGACTAAGAAAATAATGTAAAGAATCAATGAATTGCAGAATGAGTTCTTTGAAAGATTAAATAAAATTGATAAACTTAACCAACTTTATCAAAAAATTTAAAAATGGAAAGACACAAATCCATGTAATTAGGAATGAAAAGGGTGAAATTACAACAGATCCTGAGGGAATCCAGAAGCACGTCGGTATCTACTCTGAGAACCTTTACTGTAATAAGATGGAAAACATAGAGGAAATGGACAGATTCTTAAATACATGTAGATTACCAAAAGATGAATCATTTTGCTTCTTGTATTATTCTATAGTTGTCCCTCTGCAAATGAACACTTGCAAGGCTGTTTGGTGCATATTCTTTCTTCCCTAAACCTGGGACATGAATCTTGACTGAGTTCTGTGCAACAGTACTGAGCTGGTGACTGGATTTGAGAATGCCATCTGGTGGCTTATGTAGACATCCCAGTTAATGAAAGAGGGATAGTCTCCCAGAATCAGTTCATCAGCCACTGTGGAAGCAGAATGAAACAAAACATGAAGTGCATCTCGTATCAACTTCGTATCTGCAGGAGACCCAGGATCCTATTTTTTAGTGCATGTAGGAACAGTAGTACCGGTTACCATAGTAGGATATTTCCAGTCAGGATGCGATTTTGGAGAGATACCAATCATTGGAATTTCTCATCTCCTAGTCTGTAATTTGCAGTCTTTCTTAGAAAGGTAGTATTTACAAAGATGCACTGTTAATTTTTGACTGTATATTTTGCCCTAATTGAGTTATTAAAATTTCATAAGAGAACTTATAGAGTGTGTACATCACTTAAGATTAAGGAAAATAGCATTGCATCCTATTTTTTTGCTTTTGTTTTTTTTTTGGTACCGGGGACCGAACTCACAACCTTATTAATGCCGTGCAGGTGCTAGTGCTGCTGACCTAAATCCCCGGCCCCTGTTGCATCCTATTTTTATAAGTATAAATCAGATTCATGAAGATTGACTTCACAAATATAATGCTTCGGGTCAAAATAATAATGTTTTTTCTTTCCACAAGTAACTTGGCAAGTTGTAAAAAGATCCCTCAGTGATTCTTTTCGGTTAATTACAGGGCACACAGGGAATGAAAGTTAAAGTTAAGTGTGAATGGAGGCCACTTGGGTCTCGTTTTGTCTTAAACTGTTCATAATACTCATGAATCTTAAGGTTCTTTTTTTTAGTACTGGAGATCAAACTCAAAACTACGCGCTTGCAAGGCAGATGCTTATGCCACTGAGCTACATCCTTGCCCCAAGATTCATAATTTTTATAAAGCACTTATATTTTCTTAAGGAAAAATGTAGTTTAAGATATTATAGTACTAAAACTGGGTTTGGTGCCACACACTTGTAGTCCCAACATTTGGGAGGCTTTACATAAGTTTGAGACCAGCCTGCCTGAACAACATAATGAGACCCTGTCTCCCAAAAAAAAAAGTTATTACAGGACTAATTTGTACTATATGATCCTGTTTGTGTGCCTTACATTGAAACATACTCAACTGTTGCATGTGTTAGAAATCTTTTTTATATCCAGTGTATAGTTATGTGAGTAATAATGCTGTTGAGTCTACTAATACTGCTTTGTCTAAAAGTTTTTGCTTGCTTCCAGGTAACAAATATACTCTAGAGACTCGGCCCAACCAAGAAGGCATTGACGTAAGACAAGAGCTACTAAAATTCCATTCTACTTATTATTCATCCAACTTAATGGCTATTTGTGTTTTAGGTCGAGGTAAGAATTCTTTAAAATTTCATGGAATTAGAATTGGATTTTTCCATTTTGACATTTTTCAAAGTATTGGAAGAAGGGTATAAAATATACCTGCTTATTGGTTCAGTGTTCTGAAAATGGTCTGCTTGTTGAATTCATGGGTGAAAATTTTATTTTTGACACATCATACTCCAAAAAGACTGAGATTGTTTTAAATGGAGGTCTGAAGAACATGAACATTATTAGGAGATGTTTTAACCATATAAAAGTAAGAGAAGGACACTTGAAGGCATATTCATGTATTTGAACTTGTAGCAGTTCAAAAACCATTAAAGGAAAGAGATGATAAACTGAAGAAACTATTTGTAAACAATAAAGGGTTGCTCAATAAAGGTGACTCACACCTGTAATCCCAGCACTCAGGAGGCTGAGGCAGGAGGGTCATTGCAAGTTCGAGACTAGCCTGGGCTACAAAGTGAGCTCAAGCCAGCCTGAACTGCATAGCGAGACCTTGTCTCAAAAAGACCAAAAACAAAAACAAAAACAATAAAGGGTTAATTTTTAAAATGTCCTAATGACTAGTTAAAATATATTGTTTTCTATGTTAAATTCATTTTTATTTACTTTAAGAAGTACCCCCCATGCTTTTTTTGGACACAAGGTCACTTTGTAGTACAAGCTGGCTTTGAACTCACTATGAAGCCCAAGCTGAACTCAAGATTGTAACAATTCTCCTGCCTCAGCCTCTAAAGTACTGGGATTACAGGCATGTGCCACTGTGCCTGGCTAAGAAATACCCATTTTGGATGAGGTTGCTCCTTTGTATTTATTGGTGGTTATGACAGTATGAATTGCTATCTTGCTAGAGCGTAGTTTTGGTTTGATTTTTTTTTTTTTTTTCTAGTACTGGAGGTTGAATCCAGGGTCTCACAGTTGTTAGGCAAGTGCTCTGCCACTGAAATTACAGGGTATACCACTATGCCTAGCTTGAAGAGCAGTTTATCAAGATTGCCCTTTAAAAGCACATATATATTCTTCTTTTAAAAAATTTTATGTTTGCCGTGCATTACATGTTCATTATGGGGAGGTGGTACACGTACATATTTTATCATAGTCATGTTTACTGTTATATTTGGTTCTAGAAGTGCAATCTAAGGAAATCTGTTTTCAAACAGATATAAAAGAATTTTTATCAGTATAGAATTTATTAGAGAAAAGTTAGAAATAATCTAAATGTCTGTTAATAGGAGATTGGTTGTAAAATACAGCATCTTACTGAATAATAATGTCCTGTCTCACTTTCTGTCTTCCTACCTGCTTTATTTCATATCATTACCATCTGAAATATTAACTATTCCTTTATTGTCATTGTCCAGCCTACCAAATGTAAGTTACTTGAGAACAGAAATTTGTTTTGTTTCCTGCTTGTCCTCTGGTACCTCAGGTGAGGTTTGGGCCATTCAGGCTTTGGTGAACACAAATCAAACTTGTGGTCCTACAGATGTCTCAGAATCCTGGGGTTACAGGCCTGTGCCACTGTACCTGGCTTGGAGAGCAATTTAGTACTGTGGGAAAATATTCTCAGTACGTTAAATGGGAAAGAAAAACACTCACCCAAAACTCTGTGGTAGCTCGGTGTCAGTACACACCTGCAATCCCAACTGGGCAGTTTACCAAGGCTTTGTCTGGGAGGGAGGAATATATATATATATATATGTAATATTACATATCATATATAATGTACATATAATATAAATTATATAGTACATATATAATACACAACATATATAGATATATTAATGCATTATTTTATATAATATAATATATAATATTTTACTATATTTTATATATATATTAAAAAAGACTGAGAATATTGCTCAGTGGGAAGGCTCTGGATTTAGTTCCTAGTACTTCACAAAACAAACACAAAACATTCATACACTGTGCTGTATGAGTCCATTTGGGAATTTATAAAAATTCTAGCCACGTGTGTTACACACCTGTAATCCCAGTGTTTGGGAGGCTGAGACAAGGAATAACAGGAGTTCAAGGTTAGCCTGGGCTACACAGGATTTTAAGACCAGCCTCAGCTACATAGTGAGACCCTTTCTTCAAATACCTTTTCTCAAAATGTTTCTGGAAAATAAAAGGCAAGTGATTTTAATAAATACTTATTGGACAACTAATTATAGTAATACTTGAATCAAACATGAGCTTTTCCTTGTTTTTGATTTGTTGGAAGTGGTACAATAGGTATCAAAAAAAAAAAAAAAAAAAAAAAAAAGGAATTTCAGTACCCTGATGAGTACATGTCACTCTCCCAAGAGGACTGACTTCCTTTCCAGGGCTCAGCAAGCTTGATAAGAATGGGGAAGAGGCTTCACAGCATGGAGGTGTGCATCTCTTACAGGATTGATAGATAATCCTCTCCTGTGGGAGAGCAGAGGAAGAATCTGTCACAAGGGAACATTGTTCTTTCTCTTCTTGCTGTGGCCATACCTCTAATTGTGGCAGCGCTAATTGCCTGAAGGGTAGAGCACAGACCTTAAGGTGATTGTGCCCTGAAGATAGGAAAATGAAGGAGACTTAGTTCCCTAATCACTGGTAACTTGCAGTTTCCTGGGGAGAACAAACTGTGCAGTATTGTGTGGCTGCTTTAAGTTTAAAACCTCCATTGAGGAGGTACACTCAAAGTAGAGCTTTGCTCTAAAGGCATCGCTGTCATTTATACTTAATGTCCAGAAACCTTTGTTGCCAGCCTGTTTCAGGTCCTAAGTCACAGTGGACATGAATACATCTCTGGAATCGCGTGCTCCAGGTGCAACCCTGCATTTCTCTGCTCACCTGCCACGTAGCAGTCAGCCACTGCTCTCTCTCTGCTTTCACTTGACTCTAGACGTTTTGGAGTCTTTCAGACATGTCCAAAACATCGAAGGAAAAATTGGTACATTCTAAAAATAAAATACAAATATCTACATTAAATGGTCAGAAAGAGAGGTTCATTCTGTTTAAAGTCAATTCTCAAATAGTAATTGAGGACTCTCTAGATTGTGAAAAATCAATACCAACAGATAAATATTCGTGCCGTGTGACTAGTTTTTGAGGGCACAGAATTAAGGGAGTGGTTATATCTTATCCTTAGCATGAGTGAGGCTGTGGAGTCAATACCAGCAAAATGATAGCATCATATGTGCACATGGAAAAGACATCCCACATGGAAAGCTGTAAAATAAAAATCTCTATCTCATTCTGTTATCTGCTTTTTTTTTCAAAGATAGTCACCTTAAGTGAATTTTTATTGTATTTCTAACAATAGAATTTTGTTAATATGCTTTTATTTCCCAAAATTAAATGAGATTCTGCTGCTTAGCATTGTTTTGTAGCCTGCGGTTTTCGCTTAATAGAGCTTTGAGGTATTTTACTATCAGTGCATACAGATTGCTCCTTCATTAATGGCTACATAAAATTCCAATATGTGAATGTTTTGTAATATCCACATACAATGTTCAGGTCATTTCCATTTTCTGTTATTGTCATAAGCAGTGCTGCAATGACCATATCTATCTGTCTATAGTTTTGCAAACACTTGACTTTTAACAGTTGGCTTAGACTATTGTAGAGGTGAATGTTATACTTTTTATTTATATTTTATTTTATTTTTTTAGTATTTTTTTGAGACAGAGTCTCGCTATGTAGACCAGATTGGCCTTGATCTTATGGTGATCCTCTTGCCTCAGCTTCCTGAGTGCTGGGATTATAGGTGTGAACTGGCGTCTACTTATATTTTAGACTGTTGGCATTGGAGATAAATCATTTTCCAAATACAACTTAATGCTCTGTTATTGTTTCTAATGTTTCTTTTTTTACTATGAGATAATATTTGTAAAACATTATTAATATGAGTATCTGCATATTCAGATTTTTATAGTATACAGAAACATACAGAGGAAGCATAATCATTGGTACTGTTTAATAGTTGTGCAAGCTGTACCAGCAACAGTAGGATTTAACTAACTCATTTTTGTCAGATGCAGTTTTCTTTTAAAATCCCTGAAACTTTTGAGGAGATCTTAAATACTACCTGTTCTCAAGTTTTCACTCTCTGTTTTCTTGTAGAATCTTTAGATGACTTAACTAATCTGGTAGTAAAGTTATTTTCTGAAGTAGAGAATAAAAATGTCCCATTGCCAGAATTTCCTGAGCACCCATTTCAAGAAGAGCATCTTAAAGTAAGTGCATATATTTGTGGTTTCTCTTTTTAATTGATAGACATGACATATGCAGTTTACCAGGAAATAAATGAAAAGTTGGGGAGGTGTCATTACTTACATGGTTTTTAACATTTTCCAGTGTAATCAAATAAATCTTATGTGTATTAGAAACATGTATCATCAAATAATGTCAGCATATTCTGATCTTCATGCTAAAAATAGTTTTGATAGTGATAGCCCTGCTAGATTATTGTGAGCTATTATCTAGTGCCATAAGGCAAACCTCCAAAACTATATCATTTCAGAGACTAGTGGACCAAACATGGAATTTTACCTACTGTAATGAAATTCCATATAAAGATAGCCTGATTCATTTATTCCTTTATGGGTTATTGTTTGTGCCTGGCAGTTGATTTGCCTCTCAAGTTGGAATTCTTGCATGGAAATCTATATTCTTCATAATTTATAAATAATTTTATTAAGTTAGAATTCTATTTAGTGGGGCTGGGGATTTAGCTCAGTGGCAAAAGTGCCTGCCTGGCAAGTGCAAGGTCATGAGTTAGATCCCTAGTACCAAAAAAAAAAAAGAAACAATTCTATTAATGACTTTTTCATTATTATTTTTTTCCCCAGCAACTTTATAAAGTAGTGCCCATTAAGGATATTAGGAATCTTTATGTGACATTTCCTATACCTGACCTTCAGAAGTACTACAAGTCAAATCCTGGTCATTATCTTGGCCATTTGATTGGGCATGAAGGTCCTGGAAGTCTGTTATCAGAACTTAAAGCAAAGGGTAAGTGTTTGGGGCAGCATCTTCTGGATGATGCGCACTGCCACATCTTTGACTCTGGGCCTCACTGTTTCCTAAAAGCTGTCCTGTGACATTTGAATATGAGACTGGGGTTAGTGAATTGAAGGGGTGATTGTTACAGTGTACTGCCTCTGTGTGTGTGTGTGTGTGTGTGTGTGTGATATAATAACCCCAGTGCTATTATATTTGATTTTGACACGTGGTCTTGCAGAATTGCCGGGCTGGCCTTACGCTTAAGCTCCACTTACCTCTTGAATAGCGGGGATGATAAGTATGCACTACTGTAGCTGATTTTTTTTTTTAATGATTTTTGTTTTTCTTCAGTGTTTGTTTGTTGTGATTATTTGAGACATAGTCTTCTGCTTTGTAGTTCAGGCCAGCCTGAGATTCACAGCAATCCCCATGCCTCAGCCTCTTCTGAGTACTGGGATTATGCAAGTTTTTCTGTTTTGACTTACTTTTATGGTACTGGGGATAAAACCAAGGATTTTATGCATGCTAGGCAAGTGTTCCGCCACTGACCTATTCCTAGCTGTGTTTTATTTATTTATTTTTTCTAGCAATGTTTTAAATGAGGAAGTAAAACAATAAAAGCTACATTTATTACTCTTTACTACCTATGAAATTCAGTACATGGTTACTTTGCTTCTCTGGTGCATCCAGTCAGTGGATAACGATGTCAGATCTAAACAGCAGTTGATTTCCCAAGTCCCTTTCTCTCATATTCTGTGCATTTACGTAACATTGAAGCATAGTAATCTTCCCTTGAATAGGTGCTGATTTGAAACCCTTAGGAAAGCTTCCATCCCATAAAATTCTTTGTCTGAAACTACTTTTCTACACTCACTTTTTTTCTCTTGCAAGTATTCCATTCTAATCTGGAAAGGTAGTGTGATTTTTCTTTTTTGTGGTGTTATTTTATTTTATTTTATTTTATTTTATTTTATTTATGTATTTATTTATTGAGAAGGTCTCACTGTGTAGTCCAGGCTGGCCTCAAACTTGTTTCTCCCTTCTGAGTGCTGGGATTATAGACACACCTCATTGCCCAGCAATAGTATGAATTTGTAATTTCTGTGTTGTCAAAAATCCACACATGTAGTCATGTTGATTTTCTTTGAATGTTGCAGGTTGGGTAAATACCCTGGTTGGTGGACAGAAGGAAGGAGCCAGGGGTTTTATGTTTTTTATAATTAATGTGGATTTAACTGAGGAAGGATTATGTAAGTATAGAATGATTATTTTGTTTTTTAATGAAAATTCACTTTTGGTGATTTTTAAAAGTTTGTATTGTAGACCTATTTCATGTTGAAAAGCTATAAACACATTTTACTTTCGATGATTTTTTTTTTTTTGAGAAAGGATCACTATGCAATTCAGGCTAGCCTTGAGCTCACTTTGTAACTCAAACTGGTCTCAAACTCAAAAGGATCTACTGCCTCAGCTTCCCATGTGCTGGGATTACAGGCATGTGCCACCATGCCCAGCTATTTTTTTGGTGTTTTTGAAATGGGGCTTCACTGTGCAGTTCAGGCTGGCCTTGAACTCACTGCCTCACCCTCCCAAGTGCTGGGATTATAGACATGAGCCACCATGCCCAGCAAACTCTTTATTTTACTTTATTTTTGGGGCTGGGGATTTAGCTCAGTGGCATAAGCACCTGCCTTGCAAGTGTGTGTTCGTGAGTTCAATCCCTGGTACCGATAAAAACAAAAAAGACAAAAAAAAGGGGAGTGGGATTTACTTTATTTTTTACCCTAATGAGGGTTGAACCCAAGACCTTTACACTGAGCCATGCTCCCAACTTTGTTTTTACTTTTTATTATGAGAAAGGGTTTTACCAAGTTCTTACGTTGCCCGTGCTGGGGTTGGAATTTGCAGTTTTCCTGTCTTAGCCTTTGAAGTACTCGGATTAAAGGTTGAAAACACTTTAATTTCTACAGTGTATTCATTGTAGTTTTCATATGTCATTTGGCTTTTGTTTTATGGATGACTCTCCAGTTTAATAGCTGATCTTTATGTTGTGCTTATAAAATGTGTACTTAGATTTTCATTTGCTCATTTATCCCAGTATCCTGTCAGTCACATGTCCTGAGTCCAGAGGGCCATGTGAGGGACACACAAAACCAATCTTAAGGAGGTGAGGACTGCATTGCTAAGAGAGACCATCTTCCACTTACCTGACTTTACCTTAGGCGTGAGCTCACTGCTTTGAAGAGTTTGAGGACTGAATGTTTTTTAAGTGTGCCCCTTTTTTCCAGTACATGTTGAAGATATAATTTTGCACATGTTTCAATACATTCAGAAGTTACGTGCAGAAGGACCTCAAGAATGGGTTTTCCAAGAGTGCAAGGTACTTTTGTTTCTCCAAAATTTTTCTTAAGGAATCTTATTTTTCAAAAGCAAGTATATATGAAATAATTTAAATTTAAGGCCCTATAATAAACTTTCAAAGGTTTGTTTTCATTTTTTCCCTAATTAAAGTATAAAATTTTGCAAAGCATCATGGTATTAGTGAAGGCTTAGTGGTTACTAGCCTGATTTGCTACTTGAGGCCCAAGTAAGGGTTATGGCATAATGCTGCCTTTTTTAGGAGAAAAAACAAAAGAAAGTAGATTGCTTTTCTATCCCACAGAAGAAAAATAACAGTTTGTTAAGTTGACGTTTTTACTTCTGTTGCTCCCTGCCTGAAGCTGCATGAAATCTGTCATCTTCAGAACTGGTCATGAAAATTTGCAGTAAACGCCAAAAGAAATAGTGAATGGTTTTATGTATGACTGTGTGACTTTATAGCCTTGCTATCTTTGTTTATCCTTTCATAAGAAAAAGGATGTTTGTAAAGGCTTCTTTTAAATGAGTTTACAAGAAATACATATTTTTAAAAATTTTATTTAAAGAAAAAAAATAAAACAGTAAAAGGGGACAAGTAATACAGAATTAAAAAAAAAAATAAACAGTAAGAAATCTCTAGTTAAACGATTACATATTGTCATCTTAGAAATAGTTGTTCAAGTCACAGAATTAAGCGTACAAAGTAGACATTCAAACAGTGAGACTGCAAATAGTTGGTTCAATGATCCAACGAAAATAGTAATATGGTCATTTAAAAAGATACGTATTTTATATGTAAGATCTGTCAAGATTCTGAAATGTATTTTAGGTTGAGAAACACACTTTCAAATAGGCAGTAGTTTAGAGATATAATCTCTGCTTGTGGTAATTTAATTTTGCAACAGTTCTTTGAATGGGTTATCAAATCATCATCTGTGGAATTATTGGATCTCACAAGCTTCTTTCACACTACTTTTTAAGTCTAATTCATTGACTAATAGTTTCAGCAATTCAGCCAGTAGTAGCATGATATTCTATATTTGTTACTTATTTTCATTCAAAGTTTTTTTATCTATTTTACTTTGATTTTAACCACATTTATGGGTTAAATTTTATAAGTTTTCTTTCCATGTTTTATACATTTCTAAATCAATTATAGCCATTTTTTCAGGAAGTGTGATAGGCTGGAGTGTGAGATTGTGAGTTCACTTTCTGGCACAGAAAATAAATACAAGTGTAATAAAGTTGAATATGGAATAAAAACACTTTAAAAACGTGCTTTTGAGTAATATTTAACTCACATCTAATTGGATTAATTTTCAATTTTAGGACTTGAATGCTGTTGCCTTTAGGTTTAAAGATAAGGAGAGACCACGAGGCTATACATCTAAAATTGCAGGAATGTTACACGTAAGTTTGTGATTGTTTTACTGTTCCTCCGCAATCGTATAAAGAATATTTCGTATTGTACCTACGCTATGTTCTGTGCTACACAAATGATAAAATCTGATGCTGTAGGTACTTCAGACTATAGCAGCTGGGTGAGTCTGTTTCCTCAGCCTAAAAAGTACAATCTGTAATATTTTCATTATTAGGCCTTTTGCTTGTTGCCTTAAGATATTTTTCAGTTCTACAAAATGTTAGATGCTACTTTTGTGAAAGCTAAAGCCTAGATCAGCTACATTTCCCCATTTCTTTTGTTGTCATCCTGGTCTGACTACCGTCATTTCTTACCTAGCCTACCTTCAGTCTCTTACCTGGATCCCTGTTTTCCATCTTGTTGCCCACTGAACTCTATTTTTTCAGCTTTAATTATCTTTTGAAAACTAAAATCAGATTGTTGCACTCTTCTCTTTAAAGTTGTTCAGTGGTTTTCCCATCAGAATTGCGTAAATTCTAAAATTGTCCTTGGCAGCCTCTGATGTGGTCACATTTCACCCCTGCTCTCCAGTCCCCCGCTCTCACAACACACCACCTGGTCTGGCTCGCGGTCTAATTTTCAATCGGGAAACCCATTCTTCCTTTTTAAGGCCTTTACACTTGCTCTTTTCTCTATGGAGCGTTCTTCTGCCTGATTTTTGCATGGCTAGGTTTTCCTCATCATTGGAAACTCCACTCAGACATCTCCTTAGAGAGAACTTCTGTGGACACTCAAGCTGAAATACTGCCCCTGCCCTTGCCCCTTTTATTTGGTTTATGTTTTTGTTTGTATTTATTGTACCTATCATTAAAATTACAGCATTTGTTTCATTATTGTCTCCCTCTGTCTCACTTATAACAGCTGTTTTTGGGAGACACTTACCAATGTTTCCACTGTTCCTAGAACAGTGGCTGGCACAAGGTTGGCATTCATTCGGTTCTTACTGAATGAATGAATGAATCAGTCTAGGCATATTGGCAGTTGTGTTTTACCAAAAAGCCTTTTCTACATTATTTTGGCAAGTGAGACAAAATATAATCCATTTCTTCCCACAACTTTCTCAATGCTTTTGTGACTTCATTCATAGGAATTTGAGAGGAAATTCTCTTTGTAAAACTGCACTTGTCTTATATTAAAAATCTGTTGTCAAGTCAAGCATGGTGATGCATGATTGTACTCCCAGAACTCAGGAGGCTGAGGGGGGAAGATCACTGCAAGTTTGAGGCCAGCCTGGGCTACATAGTGAGTTTCAAAGCTAGCTTGAACTAGATAGTGAGACTTGTCTCAAATAAAATAAATATCTGTTGTCGGCATTTTACTATCAAAATTTTTTCATTAAAAGCATTCAGGTTTTAATTTTCTTTGTTACTAGTATATTTGTATATTACATACATAATTACAGTTCATCATGGGGAGTTGGTACATGTACACAATAACATGTCTTGTTTGTATTTTTCTCTCCTCTCTTACTAAATTTTTTAAATTTCTGATTTTTTTCCCCATAATTCGTTTTTTTTTTTTTTTTAATTTTTTTTTTAACTTTTTATCGGTACTGGGGATCGAACTCACGACCGCCTGCTTGCAAGGCAGGTGCTTATGCCACTGAGCTAAATCCCCAGCCCCTGTTTGTTTGTGTTTTGTAGGTCGGGTCTCACTTTGTAGTTCAGGCTAGCCTTGAATTCAATATATAGGCCAGACTGACTTTGATCTCACAGCAGTCCTCCTGCCTTAGCCTCCTGAGTGCTAGAAATACAGGCTTGCACCGCCATTTTACTAATTTGTATTTTTCCTCCAAAGAAAAATGCTTTCTGTAATAAAAGAATACTTGGGGATTAACAGTATTTCTGGCAAATAATTGTACAATATTAAACTAGTTAAAGATGTGTTAGATAGGGCTTCAGTATAGCTCAGTGGTAGAGCATTTGCCTGGCAATGGAAGACCCTTGATTTAGTCCCCAGCATGGCAAAACAAAAAGAAAGAGAAAGGAGGGAGGGAAGGAAGGAGGCAGAGAGGGGGAGAGAGAAAGGAAAAGAGAAAAATTCAGAGGTATAGAATTTTTTCCATTAGAAAAAAATTTTAGACTTCCGGGAGAACATGGCGGACAGATAACAGCAACTACCGGAGGCTCTCTAAAAACTAGGCTCAGAAGCCAGGTATAGTGCGGACTAAAGAGACATAAGCAGGTGGAGTTATGCTCTGCTGACTCAGGAACGAACTCGGCTGAGAGTAACCAACTTGGAGTGCAGTCCTGGTGCTAAAACAGGAACAGAAAAGCCTCGCTGCTGAGGCTGGACCCCACGCCATTTGGGTTTCCCGCCGCGCGGTGGCTGGCTGCCTCTACATCGGCTCGGCAAGGAGAGAGATGCACGGAAACTCTGAGAACGGGAGTCTGTGAACGGAGTCGAAAACAGGACAGGCAGGGAGGCATGTTCTGACTTGTGGCGAGGTGAGTGAGAGAAACTGACACTCCACCACAGTTTGACTCCAGCGGACTTTCTGGGCCCGAGCAGTCCTGCGGGAGCAGGGCGCGGTGGAGACTCCAGCCACACATCCCCCTCTCGGGCGGGATTGGTGAAAAGTGCCTGGCCTGCGTGACGCTGCCGGCGGACCCCGTAGGCTGGCCTAACCCAGATCCCAGAGCCCGACGGAGGCCGGGAGGGGCGGGCCCCGCGTAGGCTGCCTGGTGCGCAGCGGTGAGTGGGAACACCTAACCGGCGCAATTCGATCAGGCTGTGGCTGACAGGGAGAGAAGCTGGGCCTCTCATATAAGCTTGCATATATAAGGAACAGAGAATATAGGAAGAGGCAGCAACAAGAAAGGCTCCTCAGCCCCCAATTCTGAGAAACAGGCAATAGCAGACACCGCACCATTACACATAAGGCGCCACATAGAGAGCCTCATAGACCAATTCAGGAATGAAGTTATCAACGACCTGAAGCTAGAAGTATGCAAAATAGTTAGAGAAATACTAAGCACCACCCAAGAAAAAACAGATGGTGGAATGGAAGAACAGAAAAAGAGGGGAGAATTGTTTGATGGAGAAAACAGAGAAAGCATAGAATACGTGAAGCAGGTTCAAAGGGACTACCAAGAAACTAAGAAGTCTATCGAAGCCTGGCATAACAGCTTGAAAGAAACTAAGGACAGACTATCTGAACTGGAGGGCAGAATTGTAATATGGGAGAATGAAATGAAAAACTTCTTAAAAATAACAAAGAAACAAACAGCAATAATACAAAGACAAGAAGATGATAAGAGGATCCATAACTTAAGGATTAAGAACATAAAAGAAGAAGTAGGGACACAAACAAATGAACTACAAAAGCTACTCACAGAAATAATCCAGGAGAATTTTCCTAATTTAGCAAAAGGTAAAGATACTCAGATGTATGAGGCATACAGGACCCCAGCTACCTACAACCCAAACAGAGCAACACCCAGGCATATAATAATAAAAATTCCAGAAATTCAATACAAGAACAGAATATTAAAAGCTGTCAGAGACAAGAAACAGACCACTTACAAGGGAGCACCCATCAGAATTACAGCAGATTTCTCTGCACAAACCATCAAATCACGAAGAGCGTGGGGGGAAATAATTCAAGCTTTGAAAGATAATAATCTCCAGCCAAGATTGAGATATCCTGCACAACTGTCCCTGGAAATTGATGGAAAAACAAGGTGCTTCCAGGATAAAGAGGAACTGGGGGAATTTGCAACCACCAATTCAACTCTACAGAGAGTATTGCAGGATATTCTAAAAAAAGAAAAATACAAAGAGTCCTGAAATAATGGAGGACACAACGAATGGAGCAGAGAACAAAGTGAAGAAGACAAACTGACAGCTACTGACAGAATAAGAGCTCAACAGAAATGAGGCAGAGAAGATTGGATGATAGGAACAGCTATTTTGGAGAAAATGACATCTTAATAGGTAATACTGATTTAGTATCATCTTGTTTTGAAGTCTCATCTAGCTTTTGTCCTTCTGTCTCCAATGGTCCAAATAGGTTGTATCTTACTGGATTTTATTATGTACGATAGTATAAGCAAAAACCTTTTAAAGACAAGGAGATTATACAGAAACCATTGTTCATTTTCTGTTAGTCGATTCTAAATACTCTGTAATGCTGTCATTCTCTTAAATGGTTTTACATTGTTTTGATATACTTAATCCTGCAGTATACGAAGTTGTACTCAAGGATTTCAAGGAAAGAGATAATATGGTAACTACTTTTAGGTCAGGATTATCTGGTGGTGAAACACTATTCTGCTTAAATGGTTATGTTTTGATCTGTGCTGTTTCGTTGTTATGCCCTCTTTTATCTCAATCTCCACTCCATTATTTACTTTTTTATTTTTATCCTTTTAATTAAAGGAAAAAAATAGCAGGATATATTATAGTAACCCACTTTGACTTTCTATTATCTCGATTTGAAGCTCTGTATTACTCTCACCATCTTGTTTTTGACTGAGGTTCCCCTATTCTGTTTTGCTGGATAGTATCAGGTTCGAAAATTTAGGCGTCAGCTGTGAAGATAATGAGATTCATTATAACGCCCATTCTCGTTGACTTTTATCTATTTTTGAAGACCTACAATGTCTCCAGTGTTTTGGTTTTGTCGGTTTTATTCTTTACTGTTTTGTTCAATTGTATTATAACTAATGGTATAGGCAATTCTATTAGAGATAGCGGGAGGCATTATGGTAACGATTGTTGATCACCTTGTATTATGTTTTCACATTATCTATTATGTCCACCCTTTTGACTTGACCGATTCTGTTCTGTTATGTCACATTTGGTTTTACTCTCTTCCAAAAAAGTAATAAGAACCATGGGAGCAATGAAACCCAAAATGTGTAATTGTTATTGTACAAAAGAGAGGAAAAGAAAGTGCTCTATACTATATAACTGCATGTATGTTTAAGTGTATAGGATGGAAAATGATATCACAGAGTTTTATTGGATCATTGAACAGAACTGTTTGCAGTATCATTGATGGAATGTCCACTTTACAAGCTTTAATTTTGTGACTTGAACAATTATTTCTAAGATGACAATATGTAATCCATTAACTAGTGATTTCCTACTGTTCATTTTTTTTTCTGCAAATATGTATAACTTGTACCCTTTCTTTGCTTTTTTTTTCTTTTCTCCTTAAATAAAATTTAAAAAAAAAAATTTTATAGGAAGATGGGGGTATAAAATGATGAATTCACTATGTTAAAGATCTCGTGCTCTATCATAACTTTGTAAATTTTATTTATTTTATTTTCCTTTTTCAAAGTATTATCCCTTAGAAGAAGTACTCACAGCTGAATATTTACTGGAAGAATTTAGACCTGACTTGATAGAGATGGTTCTTGATAAACTCAGGCCAGAAAATGTCCGGTGAGTCAATTAGATTTTGATGTTATGTGCTAAATTTTCAGTAATGCTTAGAACATTAGAAATTGTAAAGAAAATGCTTTGAAACTTTTTCTTCATGATTCCAAAAGTCGAGAATAATCTAATAGATCAAGCCCAAAATTTGACAGTCATTACGTGACCAGTCTTTCTTACCTATAGCCAACCTTCTTTACTTACTTTCCCCCTACCCAAGATTATTATTATTTTTTTTTTGATACTGGGAATCAAACTCACGACTGCGTGCTTGCAAGGCAGGTGCTTATGCCGCTGAGCTAAATCCCCAGCCCCTACCCAAGATTGTTTTGAGAGAATTACTCTAAAGTTGAAAATGTTTTTTAAAAAATCTTTCATTATCATGAATGAAATACAGTAAATTGTTTGACCTAGGTTAATCTTTATTCATGTGACCAAAGAATTAGTTCACCTATCTGGTTTTTTTTTATTTAATTAATTTATTTTTTATTTATCAGTACCAAGGATCGAACTCACAACTGCGTGCTTGCAAGGCAGGCGCTTATGCTGCTGAGCTAAATCCCCAGCCCCACACCTATCTGGTTTTTATAAGTGAGCAAGGGTACCCTCTCTCATTTTTTTTTTAAGTGAAAGTAAGGTTCATGATCTCAGAATATGACAACCAGTAGCTAACCAAGAATCAAAAGTTTTAGCTTTAATAATGGCAAAAGTATTTTTACTACAGGGAAGTCAACCTAAAAAGTCTTGTAGCCACAACATGTTTCTGCCTTAAGATTAAAAGGGAATTGGTAACAACTTCCAGGTGGTTTGTTTCTTAGACCTAATTTTTAGAGTTCAGTTTGCTGGGCTTATTGTAGGGATGCAGAAAATAGTAACACTTGCATAGGTCTCCCATGTTTCTAAAGTCACGGGATAGCAATGATATAGAGGGAAAAAAATCAAACCAGATTCAAACTCCGTTTCTCCTATATTCTGACTCACTAATGCAAGTCTGGAACCAGGTGGGTAGGAGTTGTTCCCTCCACCACCAAGGTGAGCTGCAGCGGTGAACACCAGGGGGTGCCTCTGAGCCTTGCAGCTCTTGGGGTTTGGCTAAATATTTTACACAAGGATAGCATGTATGAGTGAGTACAGATAACTGTCAGACTTTTAGAATTTTTAAGTTATAATAAGATGCTTTCTTTCTGAGGTTTAAAATTACATTACAGATCAAAATTTTTCTTTCTCTCTCTCTCTCTTTTTTTTTTTTTTTTTTTTTGGTTTTTTTGAGACAGGGTTGCTGTGCGGTTCAGACTGGCCTTGAGCTCACTTTGTAGCCCAGGCTAGCCTCGAACTCGCAACGATTCTCCCACCTCAGCCTCCCAAGTGTTGGGATTACAGGCGTGAGCCACCACGCCCGGCTTACAGGTCAAAATTTAGAAATCTTCTCCAATGATAATGACTCCTGAAATTGTATAGAAGTTAAATCTCTGGTTTCATGTTCCCATCACAGTAGATTATATTACAGGTCCTATTCAGTCTCATGATGATATTTTAAATCTATACATATTTGTTGCCTAATCTTACTCAAGAATTGATTATAATATGGGAAGTTCTGCTAATGATAGAAGTTACCACTAGCTAAAGATTGGTCAGCTTATTCTACTTTTTATATCACTGTTCTTTTTTACCTCTAGATAATTTAAAACCAAGGAATTTGAATGATCAGGAGCTCTTTCCTTTCTAGTCAGTAAACAGCAGAGGAAATTGAAGATAAAATACTTATATAAATCAAGTTGTGCATGTCAGAAGTGTACCTTAGGTAGAGATGGGCTATATAATCTACATAATTTAAATGGTTTAGAGTGGTATGTGTATAGATGACTTGGTTATGTATGTAGAAAATCCTAAGGAAGCCATCCTATCTTTCCAAAATCAGTAAGTGAATTTAGCAGTTACAGGGTATGAGGCCAGTATACCAGCATCATTTTCATTTCAGTATACAGCCACAAAAATGAAAAAATTAGCCAGGTTTGGTGGCACTCAAGAGGCTGAGGCAAGAGGATCATCATCCATTGAGGGCCAACTTGGACTACATTATGAGTTCACGACCAGCATGAACTACCTAGTGAGGCTCTGTCTCAAAAAATTGAAGGAAGAAAAAAGAAAGAAAAGGAAAACTTTTAACAGCCATACAAACATAATATATCTATGAAATTAATTTCTAGTATATCTAGAAATTAGATTAGCCAAAGGTAAATAAGATTGCTACACAAGAAAACACAGAATAGTGTCAAGAGAAATTAAAGACCTAAATAAAAGAAAAAATAAATTTTGCTCAGAAATTAGGAGACATCAACCCAGGTGTGGTGGCCCCTGTAATCCCTGAGGCAAGAGGATCACCATGAGTTTGAGGCCAGCCTGAACTGAATAGTGAGACTCCATCACAAAAATCAAACAAACAAAAGGGAAAGTAAGAGATTTGAGATTATTGCAGTGTCAGTTTTTCCCAGTTCGATTCATAAACTGTGTAGTCACAATCAAAATGCTTGGTAGGTCTTTTGCTTTGCTTTGCTTCACTTCACTTCCTTTTGTTTTGTTTTAAGAAATTGATAAGCCAGAGCCGGGGATTTAGCTCTGCAGCGTAAGCGCCTGCCTGGCAAGCATGAGGTTGTGAGTTTGATCCCTGATACCAAAAAAGAAAAAGAAATTGTTACGCTGATTCCAGAATTTATACAATTATGTATAGGTCTTAGATTTGTTGCAAAAAAAAAAAAAGTTGGGGAGCATAAAATATTGGATTTGAGGGCTTACTATAAAGTGATATAATTAAGGTATTATAGTAACTGCAAATAAATAGACAAAGAAATTACTGAAACTGAGCAGAGTCCAGAAATAGTTCCATGCATAGAGGGTCAATTGATTTTTTCAAGTTCTGGCAAAAATACATATAAAATTTACTTCTTATGTAGTTCAATAATGTTAAGTGTATTCACATTGCAAAATAGACTTCCAGAATTTTTTCATCTTGCAAAACTGAAACTTTGTATCCATTAAATGATGACTTCCCTTTTCCCCTCATAGTAGCCACAATTATGCTGTTTTTCTGAATATAGCTACTTTAAATAATTCATGCAAGTGGAATCATACACTTTTTTGTGCCTGGTTTATTTAATTAATGTTCTCAGGGTTTTCTGTAATGTACCTTATAGGTAGAATTCTTGTCCAAGACTGATTAGGGCTCCATTGTGTATATTTACCACATTTCCCTTAGCCACTCATCAATTTATCAGTTGACTTTTTGTTGTTCTTGTTGTTGTTGTTTGGGTTTTTTGAAACAGGGTTTTGCTATGCAGTTCTAGGCTGGCCCTGCATTCACCATGCAGCCCAGGCTGGCTTCAAACTTATGATGATCCTTCTGCCTCAGCCTCCGGAGTGCTGTGATTATAGACTTAGGCAAACGCTTAAGTCTATTTGACTTATAAGCTGCCATATCTGACTATCAGTTGATTTTTTGACAAATGTAGCAACATAATCAAATTGAGATAAGAAGGTCTTTTAATTAATCATCCCCAGTTTTATACCCATTTTACATCAAATAGATATGTAGGTCTAAATGTACCACCCTCTCACTATAATTTCATCCAGTCATTAATAATAAATCCAGTTATCATCACATTTTGTGACCGTGTCTCCATGGATGAGACCAGTCAGATTTTCAAGCTCCCATTCAGTCTTGTTGTGTTCTAAAAGTAAAAATGGTCTTGGGAAACATAAGCGTCTGGCACCGTAGAGCAGAGAGGCAAGGACATCTCTTTTTCTGAGCCTCTTTTGAAGTGTAAATAATGTAGAATTACGTACATGCGTGAGCAGTGGACTGTCCTGACCAGAAGGCAGTATGATAGCATTGACTATTACCCCTAACTTTGCCAAATGGGGTGAAGGCACAGTTCTGCCCTATCTTAGGTTTAGGAATTCTGAAAGAGATTTCACTTAAAGGTGTAGAGTTGTTTCTTGTTTAGGATTCATCCCTGCCTCCAACACTCGAAGTTGTAGCCCTGATCCTTTGATCACTGTATCAGGAGGCAGGATGGGGAAACTGAGATGATATAAAGAGAAGAAAAAGTTGTTGTACTAGTGTATTTCTCTCAGCAACAATTATGTGGTCATACCCCCTGTCCCCCAGATCTACTATAAATATGAAGGGCTGTCTAGTATTGATGACATTCCTGTGGTCCTGGTTATGCTGAGTGTGAGCACACACTCATGACAGCTGTAAGCCAGCCCTGCAGGTTTACATCTCCTCCCATTTTAGACAGCCAGTTGGCTATTCCACTTTTATGTCGATTGCCCGCAGGAGTCTTTTGAGAGACACTGTGGTCTGTATAGTGTGTTTCTTGGTCCACATGAGTGAACTTCGGCTCTCCAAATTCATCTTGTTCTGGTTTTTCTGTAGCACTCTGAGCATTGTTTATTCTCCTTGAGATCCACTCATAGCTCCTGAGAGCTACCAGTGTCATCCTCAGGTGCCAGCCGTGTGCAGGAGACCCGCCACACAACCACCGGCCGGATTAGTGTGCCGGCAGTGGCTCTTTTTCCATTATGTGCCTCTGAGAGTGCAAGAGGAACATGTCTAGTTGGTGCAGCCCATGCCCATTCATTTCGTGGACCTGGGTAGTCATCCAAGGCTGACATACAGGACTATTTGCTTGTCAGTTCCAGTCACCTTCCAAACCTGGAAGCAAGCATTTCTGTAGCAGACACCAGCTGTGTGTTCAGTTTGTTTGTAGCTTTATCTGTATAGAGATAGTGTCAGTTCTACAGATTGTTAGCTGAAGCCCTAAGAGTGTGCTGCCCCCCACTTTAGATGCAGTCTCAAACCCCAGGTTGTTTTACCTGTGCTTTTGACCAACGGATTGTAAATCAGTGTTCCCACAATCGTCTTCTTAGATTCTATTTGACTTATAAGCCTTAGGAAAACACTTACTTTGCTAGTTTTTTACAGAAAACATTACAAAGGTGAAGAGATGGATAGATTAAGGTACTGGAAACAAGGCACAGAGCTTCCGTATCCTCTCCAGGTAATCACCTTCCTGGAGCTTCTATGTGTTCAGCTCTCCTAGGTCTGTTCTTTAAAGAGGTATGGAGACTTCATTGCATACACATGGTGGAAGCAAGGACAGTGTTGTTGAAAAGTGATTGGACAAAATAGATTAATGATTAATGCTTATAGCCTGAGAGGGCCAGTCCAGTAAGGGCTGCCTTGTTTGTGCCCCTCTGTGCTGCATTCCTCTTGCCAAGACACGGGGCAGGACCCTCTGGGATGAGGACATTCCTGTGACCTGCGATCAGACAAGGGCACATCAGAGAGTTTCTTTATGACCAACTTCATTATAGAAAACCAAGGAAAGAACAGAGCTTCTGTAGCAGACCTTGAGGAAGAGAAATTCTGGTCTCTATGTCGGGGAGGTCATAGAATTTCTTACTGTGGGAGGGAGTTGATGAGCCTCACACTGGTGATGAAGACAAAAACTACTGTAGTTTCACAGGTGCCAAAGTAAGTTAAGTTGGGAAAGGAAAGTCTTTCTAACAAATGTCACTCTTCTACTAGCTGCCTACCCGTAGGAAATAAATTAAATTTGATCTTTACATAATTCACAAAAATTAGTAAGATATAGACCTCACTATACACTGAAGCTGTAAAACTCTAGAAGAAAACATATGTTTAAAATATTAATAGATTTCTTAGGACATCAAAAACAGTAATGAAATCGTGAAAATTGAAAAATTAAGATTTCATCAAGGTTTAAAACTTATGCTTGTTTTACTTATGTGATTAAAATGGCATAGAAAAACGACATCTAGAACATACACTGACTTGGGAATTAAAAACTTTTAATATTTTCTTCACGGTAATTATGTATGCTGAAGAAAAAGAATCATCAGAAATTCTGTTGAATTTTATTATATACTTTGTGTAAACAAAACTTGTAACGTAAGAAGGTAGAGTTTTATAAGCACCGATGCAACTCCCTGGACAATGTCCAAGGTAGCTTCCAGTGGTTAGTTTTGTAGTTTTGTCACCTAGTACTCAGGAGATTTTGGATAAGTCGGTTATTTTCTTAAACCAGTATTTATTGACTTACTCTATGAAAACTGACTTTGGAATCCTGCGAGAAGGACTTGTGACAGGTTTTCCTTCTCTCATTACCTCAGCAGCCTTCAGTGGTTGCTTCTTTCTGCATGCAGTCTTCTCCAGATCACTGGTTTGGCGTGGTTCCCTGAGCTTTTTCATTTCTCTCTTAGAATTGGGTTTCAAGTTTTCTTTTTTCAGAGGGCAAGTCCATTGCAAATTGAATACTTTATTCGGTCCTTGTTAAGTTGTCATCAGTCCCTTGCCCATTATTCTAATGTCTGGGCTGCCATCCAGGAAAACCAAAGGCATCTGTGTAGTGAGTAAACTCTTCCCACATCAATCATCTCATATTTTTGATAATCTATTCGTTTTCTGAGAAATCAACAACAGTAGAAGCAGTGTTTTAGGGTTAAGTCTGTATGGGTTCTGTCATGTACTGAATGTCCTTAATGAACACCACACATCCCTCATGTAACCATGTGAGTTCTGCCTTGTCTACATGTGCTACATGCAGGGTACTTGAACTACCAAATTGTGTCACTTCCTTTTGGACATAATCACAGAGCTGTTCCATCTGCTAAATGCTGTGGTTTCTGTTTTTCTGTGGAACATTCTTACCTAGCCCATGTTCTAAAACTAGTAGTGCTCAGTGACAGGTGGACTAGACCAGGCACACCTAACGCTGGATGCTCAGTAACGTGGGAGTCAGATTGCTTAGGACAGTGGTGATGAACCTATGTCACACTGCCACAGGAGACTGTTTATATCATTGCAAGCTCTGAAAGTCTCACTATCACTGACCTAGGATATCTCATAAAGCAGGTGATGAGACCAAATCCGGTCAACCAGGTAGAACATTGTGTCTAGAGTGAATAACAAATAGAAGGTAGTTAAGACAACCAGCAGTTACAGAAAGGGACAGTGGTTTGAAATACAGGCATTGGGATTTTGAAAATGAATGGGAGTTCCTAGGCTTTCAGCCAGGAGGCACATTCAGAGGCCAGAACCAAATCTGGGAGTATAGGTGACAAGACGCAAGTACAAACGTGATCTTACTTATTTGAGTTGGGCCTTAAGAGAGAAGCTAAACCACTAACAGAGCTGACTTTGTATCAAACCATCCAAGTTATTTGCTAGAATTTGTTTATCCACAAGATTCAAAGAAGGCTTGGCCTAAGCCTAGGATTGTGTCCACTGGTGTGAGTGTAATGATTCCAACTTAGATCGTTAAGAGGCCGCAGAGACTGAAATACCCTTGCTGTTGCTCACAGGCAGAGCTTGTGAAGTTCCTCTGATAGAGGTGCTTTTTGCTCCTTTACTCCTGTAAACTTAGGTTCATATCTTTTGAGACATTTAACTGTATCTTGTCTTTTAAGCCCCTTACCCCATTTAACTTCTTTTCTGGACTCCTTCTGCTCTCTCATCAAAGAACGCTTTTAGTAAATCATAAGATAGGCATTTCTTGATCTTGTCCCCCTTTTCTCTAGCATTAGGAAGGCATTCTACGTGCACTAAATATATTTGATACTACTCGCTGGTAGGAAAAAACATAGAGTACAAGCCTAACGAGTAATAAAGTTTCTGTACTACATTTGTAACTTTCTGTTCTCTATATGAATTGACATGTTTTCTTAGCCATTCCTTTTAACCCTAAGGCTGGAGTGTTCTTGGGGAAGAGTACTTTTTTTTATAAGGACCATCTTTTAAATACATTTTTCTCTACTCTTGTTTTAAAATTGGTCACCATATTTAGAAGTATCTCTCCTATAATAAGCCCTTTTATATACTAAAATTAATCAGGGTACCTAGAGGATAATGTGGAGCGTAATCTAAAACTTACACAAACCTATAATTGCCTATTCAGCCAAACCCTTCAGAATATACTAGGTTTTCTGGGATGGTGGCACATGCCTGTAATCCCAGCACTCAGGAGGCTGAGGCAGGAGGATCAATGTAAATTCCAGACCAGCCTGGGCTACAAAGTGAGCTCAAGGCCAGCTTGAACTGCATAGTGAGACTGTCTCAAAATGACAAAACAAACAAACAATTGTATTAGTTTTTAAGAAACACAACACATTCTTCCATATTATTTACATTTTTGAGCCAGTCTGTAAGTTTATGTATTAACATGAGTTTACTATTTATTTTTTCCCCTACTTGTTTTTTTTCATATATCTCTAGGGTTGCAGTTGTTTCCAAATCTTTTGAAGGGACAACTGATCGCACCGAAGAGTGGTATGGAACCCACTACAGACAAGAAGCTATACCAGATGAAGTCATTAAGGTGGGGTAAACTCATAAGCCTGCTATGTGTGGAACCACGAGACCTGACCTCCCTAGAACTACCAACCCAGGGCCAGGAGTATAGAGAGTGATGGCTTAGTGTCAGCTGCACCATCCTCGGAAGAGTGACAGGAGCTGGAGGACTGCAGCTTAGGCTTTTAAGAAATGGCCCTCTGGCCACTTTCTTGTGTGTCTGCCAAGAGTCTGGATCTGTAACACAGACTCCTCGCTTATGCAAAGAACATCGAAGTACAAGCAAGACCCTAAGAAAACTGAGAAAAAGTGAGGAAGTAGGAAGCATGAAAGACAGGCAGATGCAGGGCCTCCAGAAAGCTCGTGGTCTTGCAGAAAGCACCACTTAGGAGCATTCTCCCGGATTCACGATGTCTAATCACTGTATTTTAGGGAACATTATACTTTATGTCTCATATCATTGGGCTTTTTTGTTCACACAGGAGAACTATGATTTATTTCAAAACAGTTGTATTTACCAGATTCATTTTATCACAGTAATCAGTAATTAAGATTTTGCTTTAGAGTTTAATCTACTTTTCTTTATTTTCTTTATTTCTGTCTGTCTGTCTGTCTATCTTTCTTTCTCTTCCCATCCTTCATTTTATTTTCCATTAGGGGTCCATTAATGGGAAATAGAAATAAATTCAGAAATAGCAGATTGAAAAATTCTAGTTAAACTCAAATGAATATTTTTTAATTTCACAGAAAAGAGAAATAATTTAATAAAGGAATCATTGCTTGTACTGTAGAAATCTCTGACATTCACAGGATGGAAAGAGATCACTAAAGCCCTCTGGAGTATATACTAATCCATCTTTCTAAATTGTGAGGGACACTAGTATCTTAACAAATGGGTATTTAATGAATGGATATGGAGATAGATGGATCAGACAGATAAGAGATAAATACAGATATTGATAGATATACATGTAGATATACTGTATAGACACAATTTTAATGGTACTGTGATTTAAATCCAGAGCTTTGTGCATGCTGTTCACTGTGCTACAACCTCCTCCACAGACCTTTTTTTGTACAGGATCTTAATAAGTTGCCCAGGCTGGAATCACACTTTGAAGTCATCATGCCCAGCCTCAATGGAAGGTTTAAAAAATTATCTGAGAGTTCAGCAGTGAAATTATTTCCTACTCCTTCCCATTCAGAATTCTGGAGACTTAAACTGAAGCTTAAGTAATATGCCACCTGTGTCTTCATCATCGCAATGTCAAGTGACACATACCCGTAGACCAACACAGAGTTGTAACATCTTTAAGAGTATGCCACATCCACTGGGGACTGAGTTACTGTTAGTCAGTTCCCCTTTCTGTTGGTTTGAAATAATAGAAGCAGTTACAGATTAGGGCGCAACAGTCAGTGGTCTGTATTCTAGCCCACTTAGCTTTTGGATCCAGCCCATAGGACAGATCCAACCTGTGGCTTGTACCAATTTAGCTTTAAATCTCACTTTGTCCTTAACTTCATCTTAAAATTACTGGTTCACTTCAAGGTTCACATGGTCATCTGGGAGAAATGTGGGCCAGGTCTTAAGAACTACTGAAGCAAAAGAAGCCCCCTGTAGACTTTCATGCCATGTATGGAAGTAACATAACATAGCTGAAAGTATAACTCTTATTTAAATGGCCTGTGGTCTATCAGTTGTGGGACTATATACCCTTTACAGGTTATTCTTTATTGTTTAAAGAACTAGACCGAACCTAATCTTCATACATGCTAACTTCTCTTGTGGTCCAGAGTTTTGGATTGTTACTTAACCTGAGATAGTCATTTTGGAGATGTGGAAAAGAAAGATATACATAGGTGAATGCAAAATGTTCGTTAACACTAGCAAGACTAACTCAAGTTTCATGAAAACCTACCAACAGATCTGGTCGCAGCCGTTCTGTATATGATGGGCAAGAATCCCATGTGACATCTCCTAAATACTTGCTTGAATATATATATTCATCATCATTATTATTATTCTTTGGTACTAGGAATTGAACTCAGGACCTTGTGCTTGCCAGATAGTTACTTGTGCTGCTAAGCTATATACCTGGCCCCATTCGCTTGAATTTTGAGATGGGATACTGTTTTAAACTTTTGGATGAGATTCTAATTACTTTTATATATTTATCTTTTATTCATCTAGAAATGGCAAAATGCTGACTTGAATGGGAAATTTAAACTTCCAACAAAGAATGAATTTATTCCCACGAATTTTGAGATTGTAGCATTAGAAAAAGAAGCCACGTCATACCCTGCTCTTATTAAGGTAATGTATTAAAACTGGTGAATTTGTTTTTAATATGGGATCTTACCATGTTACCAAGGCTGTCTTCAAATGCCTTGAGTCAGATGATGCTGCAGCCTGTGCCTCCCAAGTAGTTGGGATCACAGGTATGTGCTACCAGATTCAGTAAAATCAGTAGTTTTAAACAGAGGAAAAGGCAGACCTATGGAACAAAAGAAGTTATGTTTTTTGAAACAAGGTCACACTGTGTGGTCCAGATTGGCCTTCAGTTTGCTTACGTATACCAGGCTGGCCTCAAACTTAATGGGGATCCTGCCTCAGCCTCCAAAGTGCAGAGATTATAGGTGTGTATGGTACACCCAATAGGAATTTTTTCTTGTACTTAATATTTTGTTGATTTGAGAGGCTCACATCTTAAGAATGTCAACAATATTGCTGAAAGAATGCAAGAAATATTAAAAGGATAAAATATTAAAGCAAACAAACAAAACTACTAAACAATGTAGAATCTAGAGAATTGCTATCTTTTCTGGAGAAAAAAAACTGGGACATTCCACTTTGTATGCTTTAATTTTGTAACTTGAACAACTATTTCTAAGGTGACAAAATGTAATCTATTAACTAATGATTTCTTACTGTTTATTTTTTTTGAAGTTCTGTATTAATTGCCCCCTTTTACTGTTTTTTTTTTTAATAAGATTTTTTTAAAAACTGGGACATAATCACAAGTCTGTTGAAAGATAGCCACCTTTTTCTGTGTCCACTGAAGATTCAGAAAGGAAGTAGGTTTATGCTGCATCATGAAAGAGATTTTTTAAAAATCTCTATAGCCTGGAAAAGAGTCTGTCTGAAGAAAGTGGTTGGATTTCCTACCCTTAAAAAACTTCTGTTTGTGGCACATGTTAAGTTAATGGAGTTCCAAGCAAGTGGGGAAGGCGATTGAGAAGTGAATTTTTCCCTTCTTCTTCCAAATGTTGTTTGTTTTTTTTTTTGAGGCAGGGTCTTACTGTGTAGTCCAGGCTGGCCTGGGACTCCCTGTGTAGCCCAGGCATGAGCTCACGATTGCACTGCCTCAGCCGCTACAGTGCTGGGATTACAGGTGTACACCTCTATGCCCTGTTTAGAATGGTGTTTTCATGTCATTATTTCACATTTTGAGTAAAGAGTGTAAAAAATATATCAAACTATTGTAGCACATTCTCCTTTCTAAGCTTAAAAACTAAAACTCATGACTGTAAGACATAGATCTTGTCATTTTTATCTTCAAATGACCTTATATTCAAATTAAGTCAGTGAGACAAGAATAGGTATGTAGGAACATGAAAGTTAATTTATCTTGATTAGCTAGATTATTAATGACTTAACTATAGTTCTTTAAAGAGAAAAATTACTCATTTTAATGAGTTGTATACTGAGTTATAAGAAAGAAATCTTCATCTCTCCAATTGTTTATTAGGATTTTTTGGTGCATTTGCTAGGGATCAAACATAGGGCCTTGCGTAGGCTAAGCACGCTATGTTTCCTCAGGCCTTACCTGTTTTAAATAGGCCATTCAGAGTAAACCAAGGAGAACATTAAACCATTATGTCTCTTGCTAGAGTTTCAAGGTAGTTTCAAGTGAATGGCTAAGGCCTTTCTTAGGAAAATCTGAGCACAGGAGAGTCAAGGTAGGGGTTATGCGTCTATCCTTGGTCACTTAATTTAACAGTTTAAAACAATGAACATTTATTATGCTAATACCATAGTTTCTGAGGAATCCAGAAGTGTCTTAGTGTTTCTGTCTCGGGTTGTATAATGAGATTGTAGTCAAGCTGTTGGGCAGGGTTTTAAGGGTCATGGCGGGCTCAGCTGGAAGTGTGGCTAACTGCCAAGGTCACCTATGAGATTGATGGCAGGTCTAAGTTCTTACCACAGGGACTTCTCCATAGAGTTGCTTGAATGGCTCCTGGCTTCCCCAAAATGATTGATCCAAAAAAGGGAGAGTGAGTGATCAAGATAGAAACCACAAAATCTTGTAAAATTTAATCTCAAGAGGTATCATTCTTTCAGATTCCTTTAGTTAAGCAGACTAGTCCTCTGTGGGCAGGGGACTACGTAAGGGTTTGAATCCCAGCAGGCAAGGCTGGCCTGGGTCATTGTGGAGGCTGGCTGCCACAGGTCCTCTGCAGAGGAATCCAGCGTCGACTGCTTCCAGGTGCCCAGAAGACTGAGGATCAGATAGTTGGCATTGGCCTCTCCATTCTGTCTCTCCTCCAGTGTGCGCCCCTCTGCATAATCGAGGGGATATAGAAAGCGGGTTCCCTGCTGTTGATGGAGTCAGCAGTCTTCTCTGCAGCTTTCTGCTTGATAACCTGGTACTGAGGAGTCAGCCCAGGCCTTGTGCATGCTGGGCAGGTGCTCTTAACACTGAGCTACAACCTCAACTGCTTTTGTTTGTTTTTTCTTTTTCTTTTTGGTTTTGGGTTTTTGAGATAAGTTCTCACTGTGTAGTGCAGGCTGGCCTTGAACTTAGAGCAGTCCTGCTGCCTTACCCCCACTGAGTGCTGGGATTACAAGTGAGTGCATACTCATCTGGTTTTTGTTCTTTTTTCCCCCTTTTCTTCTGAAACAAAGTCTCCCCAAGTTGCCGTGGCTGGCCTCACTCTTGTGATCCTCCCACCTCGTACTCCCAAGTGCCTGGCATTACAGGAGTGTACCTCTGCACCTCGACCTGTCACCCGCCTCCTGAGTGATGATTTGATTGAACATGTTTTTCTAAATGTGCCTTTATTTCTCTAACTAAATTGTTTCTCTGTAGGATACAGCTATGAGCAAACTATGGTTCAAACAAGATGATAAATTTTTCTTGCCAAAGGCTTGTCTCAACTTTGAATTTTTCAGGTATGTAACATGCATCTAGCTGTAAAACTGCTAAAAAAAAAAAAATCAGCAGTTATGTTTGGTCTAACATCCATGTGTAGAAATTTTAAAAATTAAGTTTATTTTTCCCAGACAAGAGAACACTGTTGCTAAGGACTATTGTTTTGTTATTAATTAACTAGAGTTACCGGCACATCTTCCTTTCCATTAATGATTGTGCCCTTTAACCAAAATGATTTATGTTAGGTACTATTAGGAAGACCTTCTGGCCCTTTAGGATTCTGGAATCCAGAGAAACTATCAAACCCAGAAGATATACTGAGAAAAAAATAAATAATTTGGGCTCTTTCTTTCTTTCTTTCTTTTATATTCCTGGAACGTGCCCAAAAGGGGTACTAGTTATAAAATGACTTTAAATCCTTTCCAGATCTTTAATGATCTGGAGCTTTCTCTGGCTTGAGTACTTTAAAATTATTTAATAAGAAGAGATAGGCACTGTGGCACATGCCTGTAATACCAACTGTGCAAGAAGCTGAGGCAGGAGGCTCCTAAGCTCAAGACAAGACCCTATATCAAAAATAAACGAAAGGCTGGAGAGTAGCTCAGAGGTGGAGTACTTGTCTACCACATATAAGACCCTAGGTTCTATTCCTAGAACTGGAAAAAGAATAACCAGGGGAAAATGTTTATTCAAATTTATGAATAATGCTACTGCTGCAATGATTTCTCAGTACATCTTCAGTTCATCTCTGTCTTCTTCTGTTTACTTATGTGATTAAGTATATCCCCAGTTCAAATTTTACCTTGTAACTTAATTAATGTATTTATCTTGTCTTTTTGAGACAGGGTCTTGCTCTGCAGTTCAGGCTGGCCTTGTACTCACTTTGTAGCCCAAGGTGGCCTCAAACTCATAAGGTTCCTCCTGCCTCAGCCTCCCCAGTGCTGAGATTATAGGCATACGCCACCACACCCAGCATACTTATACTTTATAACTTTATATTTCTAAAATTTAATGGTCTGTGTGAAATAGACCTATCATTGTGTAATAATGTTCGAGAGGGTGATCAAATTCTTTTAAAACATGATTAGTTTTAGTTTTTCATTATTTGGTTGTCTTGACATGAAATTAGAATGAGTTGTGTATTGATTTTGGAAGAGGGAAGAAAAATCTTTAAACGGTTAGTATTCCATCAGTAAAATTGTGGAGATTGTAGGGCTATATATATTGTGTTTTACACCATTAGATGTCCATATGTTCTAGAACTACACTAAGATTTTTAGTATTTTAACGTTAAACCTGGGCTGTTTATGGCTTATTGTTGGTTGAGCACTATAAAAGCTTATTTTTGATAGTTGAGAGTGACATTCTTAACACTTCAAGCAGCTTGTCACTACTTTTCCATCTTTGCTGCTATGATTAAGAAATATTATTTAACATTTTTATATTCTTTAAACTACCTAACGCAATTTGCAGAACTGAAAATACTTGCTTCCAGCAAACCTCTCTCCTGTCTTGTTCAGGTCTTCCCGGAGGTAGCTGCTGCTGAGTTTCCTATGCACTTAAATGAAGTATTTTTTAAGAGTTTCTCTAAATTGTGATCCTTCTTCCTCAGCTTCCTACAGTGCTAGCATTACAGGTGCTTTGACTAGTTACAGATTCTAAAACTTGTGATTGGCCCTTTCATATTTAAGCATACAGTATTTGATGACAAAATAGTATTTTTAAAACTGACGAATCTGAGTTTTATGTATTGCAGTTGAATCATACTGTCTTTTAAAAGTTAGCTTGGGCCCTGAAGCAGTGTATTGATATGAGGATGTAGCATTTTAGGGTAATTGTCGGAATTATATTCTGAGCTTGAGTCATGTGCCTTTGAACTCCCAAACTTGGCTTTTCTGGCTTTTTACTGTCTCCTAAATGTTGCACAATTGCCTCTGAGGCTGAGCACTGTCTTTTTAAATTATTTTATTTTCATGACTTGTATGTTTTAAGTTTCTGAGCTACTATTTGCCTAAAGAAGGAAATAATTTTATTTTTGGTTTTTATGTTTTAAAAAAAGTAAAAGGCAGAGAATGCTTGTAGGTTTTTCAGTTGGGTAACCTTGTGATAGATGTACAATTTTCTCTTTGAATTTTAGTCATCTAAATGACTAAGCATTTTACCTCTATTTTTGGTTTATTATTAGCTCTGATTAAATTGTTGACTTTTCTATCAGTATTTCATACCATATTTATATTTACTGTGCTACAGATAAAGCGAAGCATTTAATTTGCCTCCAAAAAGCCCATCAGGCACCTGCCTGGTCCGCAGCATAGCCTTCCCCGCATCCTGGAAGGTCCTCCACCTCACCACCTCAGGACCACAGGACTTGCTCTCTTGCTTTCTTCAAGTAGAGACCCAGATGTCGACATTCTCAGGCAGCCTGATGAACCATCTCTGTAAATCAGCAATCGGCCCGGTGTTGTGGTGCATGCCTGTAATCCCAGCACTTGAAAGGTTGAGGCAGGAAATCTACGGGTCTGAGACCAGCCTGAGCTATATAACAACAACTTGCCTCAAAAAAACAAGACAGGACAAAAACTAGCAGTCTTCCTTCCCTGCTGCCACCACCCATCATTCCTATTCCCCTTGCTTCATTTAATTTTTCTTCAATGCACAGTCCCCACCTGATACAAGATTTAAAGTTTTTTTCCTTCTCCAATTAGACTCTAAGTTCTGTGAGGTCAGGGACTTAGCCTGATCTCCTCTTTCTTCTCCTAGAGAAGAGACTAGCACTGTAGTTAAGCATATAATAGATAACTGGATAATGAATGAATCTTTTTTTTACTTGTGATAAAAGTAAGAAGTGTCATATACTCAGATGAGTAGAACATTGAACTTGCACTTGAATCCAGCTCTGCTCTGGCCACCCCAGGTAACCTGAGGAAGTTATATTTCCTAGCTGACAAGTGAAGATTTATCTGGAAAATGAAAGTTGATCTCTGAATCTATTTAATTCTTACATACTCTGTAATTGTTTTTTTTTTCTCTATTTTGTTATTCTTTGTTACTTAAATATTTTTCCGTTTTTTCCCCTAATTTTGAGTGAAGTTAAGATTTTACTGATCATTCTATAGCTTTATTGATTTGAGGAATACTCAGGAATAAGATAATATTTTTACAATTTTTCTTAGTTTTTCTCCTTTAACTGATTATATATATATATACACATATATAGTGTGTGTATATATATATATAAACTTTATAGCCTGCAGATTTCTATACCTCATATTCCTGTCTCCCAGGGATGTGACTTGCTTGGAGAAATAAAAGAACCTGCAAGTGCCGTAGCCCCTCCACCAGCTGTGCTTCCCCACGAGCCCAGGGACGGGCATGCGCTGAGCCCCTTCCCACTCAGGGCCTGCATTTCCGTCTTGTTCTGCCCACCCACTGGGGTAGGCAGCTCTTTCTCGCTCCTCACTTCACCGAGACACATACATGGCATATGTCAGGCTTCTTTTTCAGACATCTTTTTTTCTCTCATGACAAGAAGAAACAGACTTGAGAATTCAACCATATCCTCTGGAAATTATATTAATTAATACTTTTTTGATCCATCTCCAAAGGCCACATCACATTGGGAAGTAATAAATCAGCTATTTTATTGTCAACATTTTCTTCCAGCCCATTTGCTTATGTGGACCCCTTGCACTGTAACATGGCCTATTTGTACCTTGAGCTCCTCAAAGATTCACTCAACGAGTATGCATATGCAGCAGAGCTAGCAGGCTTGAGCTATGACCTCCAAAATACCATCTATGGGATGTATGTAAGTACCCATGTCTTAGAGCCTTCCACTCATCAACATTTTTTATATTGATTTGATGGAAGCATTTTTGACTGAGGGTATGAGTTTAATTTCTTTTTTTAAAAAAAAATCATTATGGCTAATCATTTTCTCCATGTTTTAATTTTTAAGTTAGCTCTTATTTTAAGTATCCAGCTATGTACCATTCCTGTTAGGCAGACTTTTCTTGATTTCTTTATTTTCTTTAACATCTTTCATCGTATTGTCTTCTCAAACAAAATTGGATTCCAATTTAGGTTTAAATCATACTCTGTGTATCTGAAATCTTGATGTTCTGCACAAGAGAATGAAATCTCTTTGTAAAATGAGATTGCCTGTACCGTTTCCCTAGAAATCCAAATCATGAGGCTGCATATTCATACTCTTCAGTCATGTTTCTTCATTATCATGCCACTGCTTGAGGTATCAAAGCATCTCTTTTGTTTTTCTTTTTGTTAGTCGCTACATTTATGCTGACCCTCTCCATTGCAACATGACATACCTGTTTCTCAGGTTATTGAAGGATGATTTAAAAGAGTATACATATGCAGCACGCCTCTCAGGTTTGAGCTATGACATTGCCTCAGGGATGAATGCAATACTTGTAAGTAAAATGAAAACCAGAGGAAAGGCACCACACCGTCTACGCATTATGCCAAGCTTGGGAAAATTATTAACTTCTGCAGATTTAAACAAGATGGTTGATCTTTTTTGCACCTTTTTTATGGTTGAAGAACTCAGATTAGTAGTTAGTTCTACTAATAAATGACTGAGTAAAAGCTGACTGCATTTTGTGAACATGTGTGTGCACTATATTTACTTGCCTGTTCTGCTTGAGATGTTTAACATACTAATCCCAAAAGCATATTTTTCTACCTGTATGTCTTAGTACATTACCATCTATAATTTGAAAACATCCAGTTATTGTTGTGCTTAAATTTTATTTACTATAATCTTTATTTTTGTGGACAGGAGTAGAAAGTTCCATTGTTCAGATGCATTTGACTATTTTTAGCATGCATCATTACTGCATGCACTTTAAAATAAGAATTATTTAATGCATCTCAAAAAATAAAAGATTCTCAGGAATGTCTTTGGTATGTTTTCAACCTTAATTATACAAATTAACATTTCTTTTAAGGTACACATTCATTATTCACTTTTTTTGAAAAATACGTTTTAGTAAACACCTGAAATTCAATTTCTGAGTACTCAATTTTATAAAAAAAATTCTAACACACAAAAGTTGTACATTTTTAAACACGTTTTTCAGTGGCTTTTTCTTTCACATAAATAATTTTTCTGGTAGATTTTCTTTAATTTATAAGGATGAATATAATCTGATCATTCTCAGCATCTGTAGAAATTTTGAGACTCAGATCAAAATTAACTCCAACAAAAAGCAGTAAATCTATTTTCTGGGTTTTTTTGTTTTTTGGTCTTTCGGTCTTTTGAGACAGGATCTCTCTATGCAGTTCAGGCTGGCCTTGGGCTCACTTTGTAGCCTAGGCTGGTTTTGAACCTGCAACTATTCTCCTGCCTCAGCCTCCCAAATGCTGGGAATATAGGACTGTGCCACCACACCTGGCTTATTTTTTGGTTTTTACTGTTGACTTTAAGCAGAATATTATCATTAAGACAAGTAATTTTTATTTTTGATACAGTGGGCTTTCTGCTTATTGTCAGCCTAGTCCCTGTGATGCATGATCTGTTGTGCATGGCCTGTGGCCTTCATTTCTACTGAGGTTCTTTCCTGTCATTCTTCATAGGGTGCAGACTTTCCCAGGTACTATAGTGTTAGTATTGGGTGTCACAGTGTGGAAATATAGCCCCTCCCTATCCCCTGCTTTTGAAAGTACGAGTCTTTCAGAGATAATGTAAATTATCTCAAGGCCGAATTCTGATGATCTGTACGGTGGTCTGCCTTTGACTTTTGGGACACCAACAGAACTCATCAAATAGGAAAATGGATAGAACTGTGGCTGCTTACTGAGTAGCACTGAACGACTGAATAGCATCGTGCCATGTCATACAGAAACAGGTTGCCTGATTGCTCCAAAGATGATTTTTTAAAATATAAATGGATATATTTTGGGATATGTCCAGTTATTAGCTAGATAACAGTCCTCTGTGGTTTTTACTTTCTCAGAATACCTATAAAAAGTTTAAGGCTATCCTTCATTAGAATTTTTTTAAAGATAAAATGTAGAGGTTAAGGGTGATAGCTCAGTAGAGTATATACTTAGAGTGCATAACATCGTGGGTTTAATCCTCAACACTAAAAAAAGATAAACACATTCTAGCCATGTATGGTGCCACACCCAAGGCAGTTTGAACAACTTAGCAACACCTCTTCTGAAAAATAAAAAGTAAAACAAAGGGCTAGGGATGTACCAAAAATAAATAAATTTTTAAAATTTAAATACATTCTGTAATTAAGTTTGATATGGTATCATGTGTATCATCATAATAGAATATCAGATGAGTTTATCTACTTTGATTAGGAAAGCTGAAATTGTACTTTAGGTTATAAATATAAAGATGGTCAGTGTTACCCTTCTCAGGGTTAAACCGAGAAGTTATATTTATTCCATTTCTTTTTTCATTTTCATCTTAATATACTTGGCTTTGAAGTTTTCTAAATTTTAGGATATTCTTGATTTAAAAGTCAAGTTAAGATGTTTACTTGAAAGTTGTTGGATTTTTTTTTTTTTTTAGACTTTTAATTCCCTGAACTCTTTCCACAGCTCTCTGTGAAGGGTTACAATGACAAACAGCCAATTTTGCTGAAGAAGATTACTGAGAAAATGGCTACCTTTGAGATTGATAAAAAAAGATTTGAAATTATCAAAGAGGCAGTAAGTTTCCCAACTCATTATTGTATTTTTTAATTTGTAAAGTAATATTACCATATTATGCATTTTTTTTGATAAGGGACTTAGAGCATAGGAAACATTCATTATCCTCATCTCACTTTCTCATTGCTAAATCCTACACTAAGAAAGAAAGCCCAGAGACCCTGGAGGGTGCCTGACCCTTTTCTCCACAGCTTCAGGGTGGTTGCCGCTGCTACTGCGGAGCTGACTGTCAAGAGAAGCATAGATTGAAATGTTTTGCAGATTTCCTCCCGGTTATTTTAGATGAACACATTTGAGTAGACTAGGGTCAACCCTGCGACAAGGGCTTTGTCACACCGGGGCATACTATTTAGATTTTATGTATCTTCCACTCAAATTCTTCTTCTTTGACCCAGTGTTGCAAATACAAGATGGATAGCTACTTTCACGACTAAACTGTGACTATTGTACACAAAACTACCATTAATTTTCATTTGAAGATCATATATATATATATATATGTATATCCATGTTGATTGCTTATCAAGACTTTTACGATGGCCTTGAGTCCCTGAAAAATTAGGATAACTTTCTGAGAGATGAGACATTCCTGTAGTAGCTGGGAATCTAGCTCAGCAGTGGAGTCTTTGCCTAGCCTGGGCCAGGCCCTGGGTTCACTGTCTAGTACCTTCTCTCCCCTTTAAGATCAGATGAGCTGAAGTAAAGTTTTCCAAAGTTATAGTACATGTGGATGTCAGGGGTAAACATGCAGCCAGAGCAATGAAAAAGCGTGCCCTTCAGTTTAAGGATGGGAGAGGAGTAGGCCCCTTTCTTAAATGTTTAGTTTCAGGAGGAGAAAATACTCCTTCATCCCAGTAACATATAATTTACACAGAATGAAGTTTGGTTATAGCTAATCTTCTGAAATGAGTTTTTAAAGATTCATAAGATTAATTTCTGCTTTCACTAGTATATGCGGTCTCTTAACAACTTCCGGGCGGAGCAGCCTCACCAGCATGCCATGTACTACCTCCGCTTGCTGATGACAGAGGTGGCCTGGACTAAAGATGAGTTAAAGGATGCCCTGGAGGGTGAGACTTGTTCTTTTTTAAAGTCTAATGCTATCATTAATGCTTAAGCTCTCTTAAATTTTTTAAATTAGGATCTTCTCAGTTTATTGTAATATCAAATATTTATACTTTTGAATAACTTGTAGTTCTCTTTCATTCAGCTATGTATAATTTTTATTAAAAGAGGCTTTTGCATTCAGGCAATTTAGCTACATTTGTTATTTTCAACCCACACCACATAGTTAGTAATTACTGCTCATAGGTTTCTACAGATGACGAAGTACTATGACCCAACCACTTCCCTTGTTAATGCTGAACTCTTCTGAAAGGAAAAGTAAACTAAACTTGAACTCTTATCAACCAAGTAGAGCTGGGCATTTTTTCATGCCCTGGAATCTTTAGAGCTGTTCAGCTATGAACTAGAAAATGTATAAAGCCAGAAGACTGGTCTCTTGTTTATTTCCCCCTAAAATCTCAAATGTAGTTTTCAGGAGGATTTGTTTTGTTTTGCTGTTTTTTGAGACAAGGTCTTGCTATGTAGTGCAGGCTGTCCTTGAACTCACTGTGTAGCCCAAGCTTGACTCAACCTCCTGGATCCTCCTGCCTCAGCCTCCTGAGTGCTAGGATTATAGGTGTGAACCACCATGCCCACCAGTTCTCTGGAATTTTGCTTAAAAGTCAGTCCTAAATTCTTTGAGGGCGGCCTTTTATTCATTTTACTTACTATCTAGTATATTACCCGCTCAGTATGTGTCTATTGAATGCCCACTGAGAGGAATAGAAGTTCTTTCAGGGTTGCTCCTAGTGAATATCACCCTTTATTATTGCTTTATATTTTCAACTTCCCAATATTGCTTTACCAGTAAATATTTTCCACCTGCCCAAGAATAAGAAGTAAAATGCAGAGCTTGGGCATGGAGGTGCACACCTGTAATTCCAGCAGTTGGGAGACTGAGACGGGAGGATCATTGTGAATGGTAATCAAGAGTGCCCAATGTGACTTACTTTAGAGATCACTCAGTCAGTATCTGATACTGGCTCCTCTACCTCCTTGCCCTGATTTCTAAGTCATTTGACTGTCCAGGTGTATTATCTCTGTGTTATTTGCTTAGGTTCGATTATCAGAGTTATGAATGATGTTAACATTAGGGAAAATCTAGGCAGATTACAGGCATGGTAGTTCATGCCTGTAATCCCAGCACCCAGGAGGCTGAGGCAAGAGGATTACTGCGAGCTTGAGGCCAGCCTGAACTGCATAGTGAAATTCTGTCTCAAAAAAAAAAAAAAAATCAAAACAAACAAAAAATGGGAAATGGAGTGACGGGTATAAAGGAATAAAGGAACTCTGCAATATTTTTGCAAGTTTTTTCTAGTCTCAAGTTATCTCAAATACTACACCAAGTGTTTGTTTTATGTTTTTAAACTTGTATGTAGAGCTTATGTTTCTTATGCCTTTATAGATGTCACCCTTGTGCGCCTTAAAGCCTTCATACCCCAGCTCCTGTCACGCCTGCACATTGAAGCCCTTGTTCATGGAAACATAACGAAGCAGGTGAGTAGCTGAGGGTTAGCAGTCATTTGTGGGTCACTGTACAAAGCGCTTTTCCTCTAGTCTTTCAAAACTGTTACCACAGTGATGAGCCCGTGAAGGCTCACTTCACCTTCTCTCCTGTGGAGGAAGCAGGAGAGGGCGCACGGGACACAGTGACGGTGGTCACGTGAGGGGCTTCTTCCTCACCGCCTTCTCAGCTGTTGTCTGCCTGTGCACCCAGAGGAAGGAAAGGCAGGAACTATTCCTGCTCCTGGAGAAGCACATGCTATATTCAAGCCCTGGCCCCGCCAGATGTTAGAAAAGTGATCCCTTGTATATGTCTTTACTGTGTGCTAGTTCATGAGTTGTAAGGATTAGTAGCGCATGCCAGGTCCGCAGCGCGTGGCAAGTGCTACAGAATTTCCTCAACAGTCTGTTTCAAGGGCCCGCACTCTCCATCACTATCACACTACCTCCAGAACAGTATGCCCAGTGCCAGGTGCGAGTAAGCGGCAGAGACATGGTGCTTGCTGAAATCGTTTCACTCACAGTGAAGCCTTACACCTGCCTCCTTAACTTTGGTGAGACTCCAGGTATCTGTGCTCAAGAAAGTCAGTTGGGAACAATTTTCTGTTACCAATGCATTTCCAGCTTTGGCGCTGCCTTTTCCTGCAACATCAGAGTCAGATAATCCCAACCTGATTGTCTTGCTGCTCTTCACTATTACCGTATTGACTGACAATTGGAATTTTAATCCATTTGAATAGTAAGTGACTATAAGATTTTAAAATTCACTTTTATGCCCAGTGTGGTGTTGCACGCCTGTAATCCCAGCACTTGGAAGGCTGAAGCAGGAGGATCACTGCAAGTTTGAGGCCAGTCTAGGTTACATAGTAAGTTCAAGTTCAACCTGAGTTCTGTAGTGAGATCCTGTTTCAAAAACAAAACAAAACAAAATCCATTTTTGTGATAAACTAAACTATTTTATAAGCATATTGTTTTCATATTTTAATGGACTGCCCAATACAATGGTTTTTATTTACAAAGAGAAGGTATGTTTTTGTTTTTTGTGATGCTCTGTGATATCTCTTTCCCAGGCTGCATTAGGAATTATGCAGATGGTTGAAGATACCCTCATTGAACATGCTCATACAAAACCTCTCCTTCCAAGTCAGCTAGTTCGGTATAGAGAAGTTCAGCTGCCTGACAGTAAGTTGGACTGCTACAACTTTGGGAGTGGGTGACTTGGATGTAATAATGTGGGTGATTGCAAAGAGTCTGGGTTCATTTGGATGATAATATGTTGTTTTATGATAAAGATACCCAGAGATTCCCGACTATTTATAGAAATAAGCGTAGAAATAAATAATTCTGCCAAAAAATAGGAGATCTAAGGAGGTGAAATTGGGAGTGGTCATTAATTTTAAAGAGAATAATGGTAGAATTAACTGGAACTTGGACCCTCAGGAGTTAGGAAATAAAATATAAAAGAAATATTGACCAAAGCATGATAAAATGTATATATAAAAAGTGAAAGTTAAAGCTAGCCATGATGATGCATGCCCATGATCATAGCACTCAGGAGGCTGGGGCAGGAAGATGGTGGTGAGTTTGCTGCTGGCCTGGACTACCAAGTGATTCTAAGGTGTAGCCTTGTAGCAAAACTCTATTTTAACATGGATAGTTAGGTAAAGAAAGGTAGTATCATACATTTCATTGAAATCCCTCAGGAATCTTCAACAGAAATAGTTTTGGGAAGGTCACAGTGCAGTTAACAACCTTTATTCATTAAAACTATATTTTGACCTCCCCTCCCTGGTAAGCAGAGGTAGGGTGGCAGACTGCAGCCCTTCCAGGGGGAGACCCAGCAGTGTCTCCTGAGATCCACGCCATGTTGGAACTGAGGACGCTGTGAAAACAAATGACCATCCTGCCTCCCTGCTTAGCAATAGTGAACCTACTGCTACATGGCCTAGAGTCAAATATCCCACTTTCCCTACCCTCCTTCTCCTCCTCCTCCTCCCCGCCCATTAGCAAGTGGGAACCAGAAATCTGAGCATCCCCTGGGAGATTGACCATAGCAAATCAGGGGGACTTCCTTCTACCATTTCTTTGACGCAAATATTTTTATTACTGTTTTGCTCTTTTCTGATTAATGGTACTGCTCTATTCAATATTCTGTTTTGATAAGTTCTATAGTGTTCTATATTTCATCTCATTTATATATACGGGATTGAAAGAACAACTATTATAAAGATAACGAAATATACTGTGATACCTATTACTATTATCCCGGTAACCTGCTGTGAAGTTCTGTACCAGTTTCACTGTACGATCTTAGTTGGCTTTATTCTGACTTGTTCTGTTGTATACTTTCAAAATAAAAATTGAAAAAAAACTATTTCATAAGAGATTGATTATTATATTTATTGTTGTTTGTAATGTTGAGTTACTTTTTTTTTTTTTTGTCTTTTTCCTTTTTATTGGTACCAGGGATCGAACTCTCGACTGCCTGCTTGCAGGTGCTTATGCCGCTGAGCTAAATCCCCAGCCCCCTGTTGAGTTACTTTTACATTAACAGTACTTTATTTTCCTTTTTTGGGAGGTGAACTTTTTGAGACAGGATCTCACTGTGCAATTCAGGATGGCCTTGAACTCACTTTGTGGCCCAGGCTGACCTTGAACTTGCAGTGATCTTCCTGCCTCAGCTTCATGAATGCCAAAATTACAGGTGTGCGCCACCATATCTGGCAATAGTAGTTTGTTTTGATATAAACACTAATTAAACATTGTTTCAGTATTGTTCAAAACTATATAATTGGAAGTATATTGGATCAAAAATGAGGGTATTGATATTTCGGCTACACTTGGGGTATTCCCCATGTATGTATCATTTTTGGTTTTTTCTCAGCTATTTCATCCTTTCCTCCTTCTTTTCCCATTCATTTCCCCACTTCATCCTCATGAACCTGTGTCTACATCCTCCTCCTCCTCATCCTCTAGGCCACTCACATAAGCTGTCTGTCCCTAATAAGCATGTTAGTCATCAGCCTTATATCAGTGTGATAGAAATAGTTGAGATAAAGCAGATTATAAGGAGGAAAGGTTTCTTTTGGCTCACAGTTTGTGGTGGCTGATTGGGACTGTTGTCCTAAGGCCGTAACAAGGCAGCACTCCTCGGTGAGCCCACGTGGTGGTGAAAGCCCTCATCTCCTGGCAGCCCAAGGGAAGGAAGAGGGGCCAGAATCCCAGCATCCCCTTCAGGGACAGACCCCCAGTGCCCTAAGTTCCTCCCACTAGGCTCCACCTCCTGTTGGGAGGCAAAGGTTCCTCCTCTTCCCAGTAGGGAGGGACTGAGCCTTCAACAGCTAGACTTCAGAGGGCTATTCAAGGTACAAACTGTAATAGCCACTAAACTTTCTCTAAAACTGCTATCCAGAAGTCATCACTTCTGCTTCTGAGCTTCCAGCACTTTTCTACACAAGATCTTAGCCAAAAGGCCAGGAAGCAATCCAGCCGTTTTCTAAACCTCTATTGAAACTACTGAAGTCTCCTGCCCTTGTGTTGCGGCTAAAGCACATCACCATCTTTTTAGACTGTACCCTCCACGGAGCCAGGGTCAGCATCTGGCTCATTTGAGTAGCTAGAAAACAACTCAAATGTACTCTTGCCTCAGGATATCTTGGCCGATATTTGAACAGAGCTCTTCTGTTCTTCATGGCCAGTCTTTAGAAAGCTGGAAATGGTTTATTGCATATTTCTGGTTCGTTCCTCAGTTACTACAAGCAGAGCATAATAGAAGAATTGGGATCTGCTTTTCAAGAACTGTAGCATAGAGCACTTGTTTACCATGTCCAAGGTTTTGGATTCCGTCCTTAGGACCCAAGACTTTAAAAAAAAAAAAAAAAAAACCCAGAGCATTTGTCTTCAGAAAAAGTATGGCCAGTCATGAATCCCAGCATGCAGGACACTGAAGTAGGAGGGAGAATCACTAAAGTTTGAGGCCAGCTTGGGCTACATAATGAGTTCAAGGCCAGCTTGAACTACATAGCGAGACCCTATCTCAAAACTACAAACCAGGAAATCAAAGTGATATTTTATCTTTCATACTTCTTTCACTTTATTTCCCTTTCCCCTTTTTCTCTCTCCTCTCCTAAGACTATCTTTTTGACCTCTTCAATATGTCTCCAAAAATCCCATACACAAAAATAGCTCAGTTTACTTTTCATGTTTGAAATATTTGGTATTAAATTATTTTGATTTAACCAAGTGATGTTTAATGCCTTAAATAGTATTTTACTTAATTGTCCATAGGAAGACATTTACAGTTTTGAAAGAAAAACATCATGCACGCACTGTGAAGCAGGTGACCTTTTGTAATGTGTTTGGAAAGGCAGGACCTGAAGGCTGTGTGCCCTTCCCTCTTCTGCCAGTTCACAATCAGAAAGTTGTATGTAAGAGCGAGCAAACAGAAGTGACTTTTTTGAACTCTACATAAATATTTGAACCTGTTGCTATCTTTTTGAAACTTCGCAGGAGGATGGTTTGTTTATCAGCAGAGGAATGAAGTTCACAATAATTGCGGCATTGAGATATACTACCAGACAGACATGCAGAGCACCTCAGAGAATATGTTCCTGGAACTCTTCTGTCAGATTATCTCTGAACCTTGTTTCAACACCCTGCGCACCAAGGAGCAGCTGGGTGAGAGGGAAGTTGGGGACTAGCAGGGTATTGTAGACCTTAAGCAAACCTTTGTCCTCTGGAAACATTTTCAACTTGTAGAATCACCTGCCACTATTTATCAGACATACTGTATTCAGAGAGACTTGTGCAAACTTACTTCCAGGGACTCCGTTCCTAAAAGATAAGCAACCAGTGTGTTATAGAGACTAAAGCAATTCTTAACAAGATGGCATCTTTATTTATATTATACATGTCAATAAAGCGGACATCTTAGGTTGGGAGTAGAAGATAGTTAAGACAGACGTACGGATAGCAGCATAGGAAGCAAGCCTTCCAGAGGCGCTTAGAGTCACCAGATTTTGAGTTTCACAAGAGCCACTATGATCCCTTATTATTCTGTATATCCCACACCCAGGACCCATATCACAGGAGGTACTCAGTAATAAGTGTTTGCAAAATTTTAGGCATTGTTAAAAAATGTGAAGATCTTGGCAGGTTTGATCAGTGTGGGGAGAGACGTTCAAGGAAGCCCCCAGAATGGCGGGAAAGGATTTGGATGAGTCTGCAGGTACTTAGCATTTTTTAAAAAATAATTATCATGCTAGGTGCTAGAAAAATAAATATGTTAGGGATAGTCTTTCCCTTTAACTCATAATCAATCAAGATAGCAAACCTGTAAAGGAATGTTATAGTACAATTGTGGTAAATTTTACTGATCGAGTATCCAGCTGTAAAGCTGGGCTGAGGATAGGGAATTTCTTGAAATTAGAACCCAGAGGCACTGAAGTGGTGAGATGTGGTGGATCAGTGCACAGCAGCTGAAGGAAACAAAAACGAGCTCATTTAGAAAAGGTGTTGGAACGTGGCAGGTGGTGGGCTTACAAACTATTAGTGGTCCAAGAACATACTACCTAACAACAAATGCAACAGTAGAGCTTGATTCATATAAGGAATTTAGCCCGTGACAGCAATGAGAATTAGAACCCCTGACTAGGGTGTGAAAATGAGCACAGCATTTCATGGGAATGTAACAACTTCAGCTTAGATGGATGGGGGTAGCTAGCAGGGAGTGAGGAGTCTGATGAATGGGGTTGGTTTTTTTTTTTTTTTTTTTTTTGCCAAAAAGAAAACCATATCCACAACTTTCTAACTACTCTCCAGGAAGCTGATCTGTTCAGTCCTGAGGAACTGAGACAGCCTTAACTGTTCACGTTTTTCAGATGTACATAATCTAAAGTAGATTTTATTTTCCCCAGAGATCGAAGTGACCTGAGTCTCAGATAGCAAGATCTTGATTTCCTGGTGTTGTGTTTCAGGCTATATTGTCTTCAGTGGGCCACGTCGAGCCAATGGCATACAGGGCTTGCGATTCATCATCCAGTCAGAAAAGCCTCCTCACTATCTGGAAAGCAGGGTGGAAGCCTTCTTAATTACCATGGAAAAGTCCATAGAAGACATGTCGGAAGAGGCCTTCCAAAAACACATTCAAGCATTAGCAATCCGTCGACTAGACAAACCAAAGAAGCTGTCTGCAGAATGTGCTAAATACTGGGGGGAAATCATCTCTCAGCAATACAATTTTGACAGAGGTAAGGTGAAATTAGAGCCCCAACATTTATAGCATTTAAATTTAAAGTGTGAGAACATTAAAACGATGCTATGCATCTTGAAGGTGATGTTTTAGTATTGATTGGCAACACCATAGGACTTCTAAAGATCTGTTATTTAATGTAACAACCATTTTCTGCTAGAAATGCTTATCTCCTTTTCTTCTGTAAAAGCAGAGCTGAGTCCACCTATAGCACATTAATGTATTAGTAACAAACCTAATTTCACTATTTTTATATTATCACTAAGCACATAGGTATCTATGTCCAGTAACACTGAACAGTTGAAAAACTTGTGGATTGAACTCCCTTGAGGCAAGTGCCACCCTGAAAATGCAGGAGTTCAAACATTTGGTTTTAGGGATCTCCAAAGGTTGATCCCTGCTTTCTGCTTTGAAAAAGATGTGCCTTATTAGGGCGTTATTTTCCCCAATCCCACAGGAGGAGACTGAGGCTTAGAGAAGTTTAAGTGACTAACCCAAGATCTGCAGCAAATGGCAGCAGCCAGGTTATGGCCGCGACTTGTCCAGCAGCACTACATCTGCTTACTTTTACTTGCTGTCTGTTCCCTTCTTATTTGGCAGAGCAGACGGTCACTAGAAATACGGATACTTGAGAGTTTTATACTGAAGTATATTACTTTTTGGTGTAGTATTTTGTATTACATAAAGTAGAAATATTAAAAAATTATTGTTTCATTACCTTTTCAGATAATATAGAAGTTGCATATTTAAAGACATTAACTAAGGAAGATATCATCAAATTCTACAAGGTAAGTTATTACTTACTTAGTTATTTACTTACTTAGATTTTGACTGATGCAGAAATATGTGCTATCCTGTGTGTGGCCACATTGAACCCATTCAGGCTGGGTCTAGAGAGGTCTTTTGTTGACTTAAGTATTTGGGGCATATTTTGACATTATTACTGTTAGACAAATGTCAACAGTTCATATTGAAACTCAGATGTAAGATGTTCAAGTGTCCAGAGTGGTTTCATAGGTCTGCTAACCTCACTCGGTCATCATAGGATCTCTTGTGGCTCTTTTATATGTGGAGCAGCAATAGGTATGTGAGGCCTTTGAATACAGACCACGGCTCACCCTGCCACCAACTGGTAGCTCTGTGACCTTAGCCAAATAGATATATCTCTGTTTTCTTATCTACAAAACAAAAGATTAATTGAATTGTTGTAATGAGGTGTGTAAAGTGATTAGCATTTAGTAACATTTATTAACTAGTCTCTTAAGAGATGCTCTAAATGCTCTTTGATGCTCTAAATCAATATGTGTTTTCCTCCTTGATACAGCAGATTTTTGTGCCTAAGATAAATTTTGGTTGTGTTGACTTATCAAGAAACCATTTCACTTTGTGAAGCTAGTAGTAATGTTTGTTTGTTTTTGGATACTGGGGACTGAATCTAGAACCTTCGCACTGAGCTACATCCCCAGCCCTTTGCTGTGAGACTGGGTCTTGCTATATACTTGGGCTGGGCTGTAATTTGGAATTTTTTGCCTCAGCCTCCCCAAGTGCTGGGATTAGAAGCATGTACCACCACACCCACTGAGATGTTTATTCCTAATTGCCAACAAAAGGGGATGGTCACAGCTCTGTTTTACTTTTGAGATACAAACTTTTTCTTTTCTGTCTTTGAGACAGGGTCTCACTGTGCAGTTCAAGTTGGCTTTTGTAGCTCAGGCTGGGAATTTATAGGGATCTTCCTGCTTCAACCTCTCAAATGCTGAGATTACAGATGTGTGCCACCATTCCCAGCCTGAGATATGCATTTTAAGGTATTGTTACAGTTTTTCAAAAAGAAAAAAAAAAAAAGACAGTCCTAGTGCAGTTTATAGCCATGGGAAGGCTTTTTTCTGTCCACAAATACATAACTTTTTAAAAATTACAAGTAATTGCCAGGCTTACTAGGCATGGTGGCACATGTCTGTAATCCCAACATTTGGAGGCTGAAGCAGGGGGATGACCACAAGTTTGAGGCTTACCTGGACTATTATAGTGAGACTCTGTCTTCAAGACATACACATGCGTTTGTGTGTGTGTGATCAGGAATTTGAGACCAGCAAGACCCATAGCTAAAAAAAAAAGTAATATCCTATTATACTATTGAGTTTGTGAAAATAATAATTATAAGATTTTCTCTTGGGCCAGAGATGTAGTATAGCACCTGCCTGGCAAGCACACAGCCCTGAGTTTGATTCCAGGCGGGGGGGCTTTAAAAAAAACCCTTAAAAAAAAGAGGTGTTTTCTTTAAAACATAGGGAGATATGAGGATGTTTATAATCCAGCTTCAATTGACTCAAGAAGAGTATTTCCCTAGTTGTGTTCTGGCCAGTAGTCTACAAGATATTGATAGGATCATCAGGGAAAAGTTTGGGAAAGACCAGTCTCCTGTTCCCTTGGAGGATCACAGCATATTAAATGCATTTTAGAAGATCTAAGAAGCACCACAATAAAGAATTTACTCTGTATTTGTTTAATTTTGATTAACAAAACATTTTTTTAAACTGATTTCATTGGCAGTCCTTTTTGGGCCGGAATACCTACAAATATCTCCTGGGATTCTAATGATTTTAAATCACAATTTACAAGAAAGTGAAATTCTTTGTTTTCTAAAACATCGGGGTTGCCTGGAGTTGGTCTGGAAATGGAGAATAGTCCTAGAACCCCAGGTTGATAAGAGGGCAGTGAAGCTTGAGTGAAAAGGAATTGAAAATAGATCTTTGACTAGATGTGGAGGCTCACACCTGGAATTCAGCATTTGGGAGGTTGAAACAGGGGGACCACTACAAGTTCAAGGCCAGCCTGACTCATAGTAAGACCCTGTCTGTAAATAAATATAAACATAAATATAATAGGTCTTTGGAAGCAAACTTAGCCCAATAAGAAAGACGCTGTCAGGTGATGTGTATTCCCTGGGGATGGCATCAGCTGAGTTCCTCATGGAGGCCCGGGAAATTGGAGCAGACCTGTGGAGGGCTCTGGCTGTGCTGCCAGCAGCATGGGTAGCAGCCATGGTGCTCTGCCTTGCAGTGTGATGTCAGCAGAGCTTCCTTTGCAATTGTGAGGGACCAGGCTTACAATCACTGCTCCCTAAATAACTTTCCCCTCTGAGGATATGAACAGTGACATCTGGCTAAGGCATCTGAGGAAGCGTCATTAAAATTTATACCTCTTTGGACAAGACAATAAAAGTCCAGCATCAGGGAAAGAGGAGACGGTTCTCCACAGGACCCAGCCACCTGCCACCCTCACACTGCTGTCACTCATGGCAGTAATCAAGGGGAATACCTGAAAGTGACATTTTAAGTAGGGGAAGCAGCCATTTCTTAGGAGCTGTGCGCTTACACAAGTCAGTATTTCTCTGTGTCTTAAAGCCCATGTCGCTAAGACAATCATCGTCATGAAATTTAACTCAGAGAGAATTTAGTGAGCTAACACAGGAGAGTGGCTCGTCCAATGCAAGATTCAACAAGTGTTGTTTTCCTTTCCCTTTCACTAGATGAGGAGCCACATCTTAGCAAGAGAGTCCCGGGGCAGAGTCTGAGCAGGTTCTCAGAGAAGCAGGGCTGTGGTCATCCCTGAAGTAAGCTCAGGCCATCATCTTTGTAGACCCTAAAAATCACTAGTCACACCACAGGAGTACTAAGTTCAACATTTAATCCCCACTTAGGCACACATTAACCACTGGAGTGTGAACAGCTCGTTGATCTCGGACTGGTTTCCCATCTGCAAGTCGGCTTCGGAGTAATTCTCTGTAGGGCTGGGGTTGTCACTCGATGGTAGAACACTCCTTGAGGGTTTGCGGCCCTCCATACATGCCTTCCCAAAGACAAACAAAATAACGTGTGGGGAAAGGGAAACAGCTCCGTGTCTGTATCATGGCTGACAATTTAGTCTTCAGAGAGAGCTTCATTCAGGGTTCCTTTGTGGGGCAGAATGGTAAATTTGCTCTTCCTTTTCCCTAGGAAATGTTGGCAGTAGACGCCCCAAGGAGACATAAAGTATCAGTTCATGTTCTTGCCAGGGAAATGGATTCATGTAAGTATTGATTTTAAATTTATTTTGGAGTCTACTTTTAGGATCAGATTGAGCCATACAGTGGCTGTCCCTTACCTGTCTGTAGGTGTACAGCAAAGGGTCAAGGGGTAGACAGAAGGAACTGGAGCCAGGGTTTGCTCTGTTGAAGCCACGTTAAGTAGGGAGAGAAAATGAGTGAGTGAAGAAAGGAAGACAGTGCTAGGCTGCCACAGCGTCATGGCAACACAGCTGGCTGCCTCTGAAGAAGCTGTAAGGAGCCACTGCATGTGAGGAGGAAGAGCAAGCCATCTTCTGCCCAGTACTTCTAGTCTGCTCCTAACTGGTCACACACTTGCCCTATGACCATTAACTTTCCTATCCTTCTTGGTGGTTTTACTGTGTCTTTATGGGTGGCCAGAGCGTCGAAGTCCAGATCAGATTGGGCACTAACGCTGCTGCAGGCAAGGCTTCAGGAGCCCTGTGACATCATCACACCATCCCTGAGACCCTTCAGATAGAAGAGACGCCAGACACTCTGGTCCGTGGGAGCAGGCAGCTGAGAGAATCTTGGGCAGTACACAAACTGGGCCTGCTACAGTTGCTTGGCATCTCTGCAAGTTGCTCTTGCCTACAAGTGTGAGTTAAAAGCAACGCACTAAACCTTCATTTTCTTACAGGTCCTGTTGTTGGAGAGTTCCCGTGTCAAAATGACGTGAATTTGTCACAAGCACCACCCTTGCCACACGTAAGAGACATTATCTTAAATTGTCCTTCATGTTTGGAAGTAGCTTGTTCTTTAGGTCGTATATCTACAAGACCCAGGACAAGGTGTTTCAGGTCACCTTTTACTGTATGTCCTCCTTGGATTTCTGGCCATGTAGCCTTTGCCCTTATCTAATTCCTTTTATTTGAACAGTTGTGTCATTCTGCAGTAAGTCATCTCTGGCCACATCTGTTGAAATCCCTTAGCTTTTACAGTACCCCTTTATTGTAACTGGAGAGAACCGCGTTTACCCACAGCGTAAACAGGCTTGCTGGGCGAGCACACAGCTCTGCTGCTGTCTGGAGCCTTGACACTAACCCTCTGGCAGCAGCCCTGGGTGTCCAGATGGAACCTGATGTGCTCCTGCCGGCCGAGGCCTGTGGGAGACGCTTGCTGTGGGTGTGCATGCACCAGTCCATGACCCTTGGCCCTGCCAGTCTAGATGAGAGTTTAGCTGATGACAATATATGGGACAGAAGCCGATGTACCCTTGCCCCACTCTGCAAAAAAGTTCTTATGCTGTTCAACTAATTTTTAAATGAGACACACTAAAAGGAAACTTGTTTTTCTTTGCAGCCTGAAGTGATTCAGAACATGACCGAATTCAAGCGTGGTTTGCCACTGTTTCCTCTCGTGAAACCACATATTAACTTCATGGCTGCCAAACTCTGAAGTTTCCCTGAGGAAAAGGAGAGTGTCTGTGGGTTGATTCCTGAGTCTTCCAGGCCTAGGGAAAAATCTTGGCCACTATAATAGTTTCTGGTTCACTAACAGACAAACATAAAAAAAAAGTTATCAGATGTTATTATGTAGAAATATTAAAAATCCAAAGTAATTAAATTGAAAAATCTTATAGATGTAGAATATTTTTAAAATACATGCCTCTTAAAATATTTTAAAATTTTTTCTTTTCATTTGTAAGAGAAATTTCCCTTATATAACTGCTTAAAATGATGAATGATATTCTTAGATCTTCCCTATTCTGTAAAATAGTCACTCGTCGGACTAAAATAAAAGTTAGCTTTTTTAAGAAAGCATCCTAGGTCAATAGAGAAGGCTTCAAAGTATTTAGAAAGGTATTAATTGCCTTTTTAAAAATCAGTCCTCAAATTTGCTTTCTATGTCATGGTTTCATATAAATCAGTGGAAAACCTTCAATTTGGCAGATGATGCACAAAGCAATGTCACTTTCTGTTATTAGTGAAATTACTGTTACATAAGGCATGGTTTTAATCTTTTTATAAAATAAGAACATGTTTTTTATTCCAACAAGTAAAATGCTGGAAAACCCTAGAATACCCTAGTTATTTACAGTGGTAGGAATACAGATTTACCTTACATCAATTTTGTCCCAAACTGAATTTCTCAGGATTACTGTGGTTTTTTTCTGATTAAACTGTATTGACCTTCTTACTGTTCATAGTTGGTTTGCAGTGTTCTATCAGTTTTACTTTTTCTCATCAACATGTTGCTGTATGTACTTAAGGGCAAATTCAGATCCTGCTGAGTGTGTGACATGCTTTTCCAACATCAGCTCTTGTAACTACCCATAACTTTGAACTATAATGAAATTGCGATTAGTGTGTGAACCAAAGTATTTTTCCCCTTCATGAATTTAAAAAGCAACAAATACAAAGCCACCTTTTTGGAGATTAAAAAAAAAAGTGCATTCTAAAATAGCAAGTCTCCATAGCACTCTAAAATCCCTTGTTGCTGCCAGTCTAATCTTGCCTTAAGTGTTACTTTTTTGAATATGTAAACATATGAATACACAGATGATGACTGGGGTGGACTTTAAAAAAATATTTTTTTCATAAGATACTATTTTAGGTGAAATTGTTATTGTAGATTTAATAGCTATTTTAAAACATTATTAAAACTTAAGTTTTAATATTACTATTATCAAAATTTGTTTGAAGAGAAATTGAGTCTATTTCCACATACGGGCACCAGCAGCAGTATGCAGTCCTGTTGTCCACTGGCTCAGGCGGAGAATGCATTTTGTCTCCCTGTGTGACTTGATTTGCAGGAATTCCTTCTGCAGAGGCATGTCTTTTCACATCTTAAGTTTTTACATTTCTAATTTTCCAAATCTCAATTTGGGGCAAGAATGACACAGTCACAACTATGGAGCCTGCTTCCTGCAGTGGAGCTCCAGGTCTCCGGCCAGTCCGTGTGGTGCTGTGACTGCCTCTCCGTCCCTGCCTTCAGAGAGCCTCTTGGGGTGAAGCCTGTTTTCGTCCATCTGAAGGTGTGCGAAGGCATCGCTTCCTTCTGGTTTTATGCATTTGTAGACTATGCAGCTTTTCATCAAACTGCAGGTATATACAGAATGAATCTAAATTAGGCCTGAGTGTTTAAATCCATCACTGTAAAAGTATATAAAAAGCCACCTATCTTTTCTGTGGGAAATTATGTGCTATTGAATAATTTTTAGCTGTTTTTAAAAAATGAGTAAACTTACAAGCATTGTTTTTATGAGGAAAGGCACCAAGAGAGGCATGAAAGCAGGCTCACGTGGTCTTCCTGTGCTGCAGTATTTCCTGGTTTCCAGCTTCCGTCTACAGCTGCCGTTGGGTCACTCAGGCGCACTGACAGGTTCATGAAAATGGATCTCAGCCGCAGTCCATGAGCAATAACAGACTACCCCAGAGACTACTCGATGCTTACCAAGCGAGATTTGTGAAACACTAAGTTATTAGTTACCAGGGACTTAAAAAGAGTCTTTTTGACTAATTGATGTGAAAGAGAGAGCATGTGACACAGCCAGTATGGTGGAGTCCTAGGGTTATCTTGTTTACAATAAATCACCTGAATTACAACTCCAGTCTTGGCATTTGTGTTATTTGTGCAGTTTTAGAGAATACAGTGGCCAGTCCTCAGGCATCCTCTCAGTGTCCCCGTTGCCATGGTTTCTTGGCTTCATTATCCCTAATACAGAAGGTGTATCAGTAATTGACTGGGATAAATGTCTCAATTTCACACCCTAATGAAAGGATCACTTTTTAAAACAGGAATTTCTCTGTCTGAGGCTGAACTCCTTGCTCTAAGTATGGTCACAAACCTGAAACCTCAAAGAATTTGTTCCTGGCCTTACGGGGAAGAAAAGACAAAATCCTTCTCTTTTGTGAAGTCAGTCTTTACATCTTCTTGCCACATCTTCAGCTAAAGGTTGGGCACGATATGTAACTAATCTCTGACCTGTGACTACTTCATAACAGTCTTTCTACTCATGTACTATCCACCTGGCTAGTCAGGCATTTTGAGGAGAAATCTGTTCATTCCTGTTTCTAGCCTAAGGCAGGCAGCCCACTCCATTAGCATGGTGCTTAGAAACACAGGAGCCCTGTCCAGAGACCCAGAGAAACCTTTATGTTGTCTGGCCCGGGACAATCTTCCTTTCTTTTAATGCATATAAAAAGAACCATTGTTTTGGTACCTTTATCACATTTGGGGCAAGGGTTTTTTTTTTTATTTTTGGAGACAGTCTCACTATAATTCAGGCTGGCCGTGATCTCACTTGTGTAGCCCAGGTCTGGAGCTCACAGTGATCCTTCTGCCTCAGCCTCCCAAGTGCTTGGATTATAGGCTTGAAATATCAAGCCTGGTCTTTTTTTTTTTTCTTTTGCCTTAAAAGATTCACAATTCTATTCAGATCTTCAGACTATAGGTCTCATTGTTCCATATGATTTCCTGTAATAGTAGCTTCTAAGTTCATCAATATACTTGATATCTTCCTATTTCTATGTAACTATCTTTCTCACGCACGTCATCTTACTTGGTCACTAGCTGTTGTGTATTTCAGAAAGCATCAGACCAGATCACAGTCTATTCTCTCCTATACGTTGTCCACTGTAGTTTCCAATTGCTAGGCTAAATTATCACCACGAAATTTCTTACAGAATTCATCAGTAAATCCATCAGGGGCTGGACTTTTCTTTGTTGGTAGGTTTTTTATTACATCTTCAGTTTCACTGACTGATACTGGTTTATTTAGAATTTTTATATCTTCTTGGTTCAACTTTGGTAGTTCATAGGAGTCTAGGAAACCCACTTCTTTTGTTTTCAGTCTTTTTAGAATACAGTTTCTCAAAATAGGTATTGAGGATCTCCTGGGTTTCTGTAGTACCTGTTATGATTTTACCCTTTTCATTCCTAATTGCGTGGCTTAGGGTTAGTGTTTCCTTTTTTTTTAGTCTTAAATACTAAAGGACCAGCTCTTTAATTCATAGATTCCTTGTATTGTTTTCTTAGTCTCAATTGTATCAATTTCTGCTCTGACCTTTATTTCCTCCCTCATACGGGCTTTGCGCTTCACTCCGTCTTTTTCTAGAAGCTTGAGGTTTAACATTAGGCTGTTTATTTGAGCTCATTCTATTTCGTTGCTGTGGTTATTCACCACTAAATTCCCTCGTAGGACTGCTTTCATTGTGTCCTATACATTCCAGTATATTGTACTGCTATTATCATTTAGTTGTAGAAACTATCTCATTTCTTCAATTTTATCTGTCACCATCTGTGATTGTGGTTGTTCAGGAGGGTGTTATTTAATTCCATGTGTTTGTGAAGTTCTTGTGCCATTGATTTCTTTTGCCATTGAGTTCCAATTTTATAGCACTATAGTCTGATAATATGCATGGGATAATTTCAGTGCCTTGCCATTTACTTAAGCATGTTTAGTGATTAGGTTGTAATGTATTTTGGAAACAGTCCCCATGAGCAGCTGAGAAGAATGTATATTTTGATGTTGTAGAAGGAACACTAAGTCCATTTGTTCAAAAAGCAAGCCAGAACTGAACCAGGTTCTAGTATTTCAGTGTTGAGTATAGTTTGGTGTGCTGGTATTCGAGATATAAATGATTATTGTTTCTTCCTCTTAGATTGTTTTCTGTTTACAAGGATGTAGCAGCTTAGTCTTGCCACTCTTAGTCTTGACTTGAAATCCATTTTGTCTACAAACAAAATCTCTGCCCCTGCTTTTTTCTGGGTTCCTGTCATATGGAGTAATGTTTTCCATCCTTTGGCTTTCAGTCTATGAAATAAGTTAAATGTATTTCTTGCGTACAGCGTATTGTTGGCTCTTGCTTCTGTGCCAGTCTGTTTCTTTTGATTGGTGAATTGGAGCCATTTACATTGATGGTTGTAACTGAATGTATTGACTTATCCTTGTCATTTTTTTCCCCTGCTGTTGGTTCCCTGTCTTTATCCTGTTAATTGCTTGCTTGCCTGGCTCATGGAATTGAAGTGTTCAGTATTATCTCTTTCTAAAATATCCCTCAGAACATTTTGGAATGCTGGTTTGATGGTCATAAATTTCTTCAGTTATTCTGTCATGGAAGTATCTTATTTTCCCATTGATTTTGAAACATCATTTGGCAGGGTATATCAATCTGGTTTTCTTTTAGAGCTCAAAGTACTTCATGCCAAGCTATCCTTAACTTGAGGGTTTGTGTTGAGAAGTCTGCTTTGATTCTGATGGGCTTTCCTTTATAGGTGATTTGTTTCTTGACTGTAACAGCTTTGAGGTTGAGTTTTTGTAATCTTGACTGTTACATGCTGTGTGACTTTGTTTGTTTTTCATGCCTAGTTGGAGTTTTGTATGACTCTTTTATCTATATATCAAGTGCTTTTTCCCTGCTGGAGAAATTTTCTGCCATTACTTCCACAAACAGGTTTTTATGTCATTTGTGCTACCTCCCTCTTTTACATTGACTCCAATCAATTTGAAGTTGTTCTTTGCATCATCTAGCAGCTCCTGGATTGAGTTCTCATGGTCCTCTGCTATTCTAAAGAAATCTTTCTTTTCATGATCACTAACCGCAGTCTGTCCTGTATTTCTGATACTGTGTCCTCACATTGGCCCGTTCTGCTGCGTGTACTTCCAGTGGAATTCCTAACCTCCTGGATGTCTGAGTCTGTTTTGTGGATTCCATTTCTTTCCTGTGTTGAACACTCACAGTTTCCATCATTTTCCTAAGCTCCTCTATTTTTTTTTCTCGGTATCTGCTCTAGAGTCAACAGCCATCTCTTTATTATGGTCACTGTCATTGTAGTTACCCAAGAAATTATTTCTGATTTGATTCTTGTCTAGTGCCTCATTTGTCTGCGTGGTTACTTTCACTGCCAGCACTTCAGAGAGTCCAGGCGGTGGCTTTGAATTGTCCCTTCTCTTTGCCCCCTGGGTTTGCCTTTGGTGAGCTGGAAGTCTAGGGTCACATCTTGTCTTCTCATTATCTTTTTAAGTTTAATTCCTGTGTTCATATGTGTAAATTGCTTAAGGCAAGTAGCTTTACTCCAAGTTATTTTAGAAATCTTAGGAAATGAGTACTCAGAGGTGTCTTCAGGTGTAACTGGCTTTGAGGTTTTGAATCTGTCACAAGATCCTGCCTCTTCAATTGATTGGGGATGAGAGGCTGCTGCCTACTTGGTCCAGTGTCTGATTCTTTGGCACTGGACTTCCTTTAATGGCCTTTGGGCAGTCTCAGTGTTGGCATACCAGAAAGAACAACTGATTAAGCAATTATGTCATCTTGGCTACAATTAGCAATAAAGAGCATCAGCCTAGGAAATGAGAAACTGTGATAACTGTTGATTTGCCACCTTGGACCCGGGGTTTAGCTCAGCAGCATAAACACCTGCCTAGCAAGTGCAAGGCTGTGAGTTCAATCCCCAGTAGCAAAAAACCTAAAAATTTTTTTAAAGTAAAAAATAATAATTTGCCACTTTTACCTTTAACCGTATGGGCTAGATTTGTATTTATATAGCAAAATGTAAAACCAACCAGAAAATGGTGCAGCAAATAACTCCACAATATGGCAATTTTACCCTTAGAGAAGATGATTTAAAGAGGGGTTGGAAAAATAGAGGAAAAGATTACAAGCAAGGCTGGAGGGCAAAGAAAGATTATGCAAACTTTAGGAAACTGGTAAGAAGACACTGAGGAAAGAGAAGGAAGGAATAACAAGGACAAAACTGGAGCAGAGACTGGAAACCGTGTTTCACACTCATAAAAACAGAAGTAAATGATCAAAAATGAAACCAGGGGCTGGGGACTTAGCTCAGCGGCATAAGCACCTGCCTTGCAAGCAGGCAGTCGTGAGTTCGATCCCCGGTACCGATAAAAAGAAAAAAGACCAAAAAAAAAAAAAAAAAAAAAACTAGAAAAGAGGAAAAAATAAGAAGAAAATGTCCACTTCAAGGCATAGCCTCTGTCAGTGACAGACGCTGGGCCGAATCCAGGTCCATGCTGACTCCCCAGCCAGCCTGCACCTCTGGTTCCCCCGAAATTTAAGCTGGTTTCTGACTCCGAGGCTGGAGCAAGGTCTGTGTAGCCTGCAGCCATCTGTGCATCTCCTGCCCGCGGGAACTCGGCTCCCTGACTCCAGACTTGAACCTCGGGAGTCTTAAGTTCCTGGGAGCCACTAGATGGCGCACATAGCTGTTCTGTGTTCTGAGCTCAGTTTGGCCCTTCCAGATTCACTGTTCACCAGAGGCCCCCTCCTAGGGTGTGTCTGGTCCTGAATAAGTCACCAGCCACTGCAGTCTGCCACCGCCACTGCTTCATTTCTCTGTGGAGGCCTGTGGGTTGCCAGGAGTCTCTGCATCTGTAGGTTTGAGCTGTTCTTTCCAGGCCATGAGTCTGAGCTCAGGGAAAAAGAGACCTGGTTGTTGAAGGTTCTTTCTTTTCTGTCCCTGTGGGCTCGTTTCTCACTTCAGATCCTGCTTGGGTCCCAGGGACCTACTTTCCCCTTCTGTTTCTCAGGTTGCTGTGTGTTCCAGCATCTGGTCATCCCTTCTGAGAGAGGCTCTTTCTCTGCTGCTCACCAG